TCGCAGATACGAGGAATAATCATTAGTCTGCATTAAATACGAAACCCGGAATACTTTCTCCGCATCATCAACTACGCCTAACCACTAGGCTCATCAACTCTGATATTAAATTGCAAATCTCAACTCCGACTCATTGGAAACATACATGGATATAACCAAGAAATAAGGTGTGCGTGTTTCCAAATATAGAGACAAAATTCTCTTAAAATACTTTGAGCATTGATACTCATTACGTGGTTGCAAGAATGTTTACAAATACAAAATCAATGAAAATGTATTTATGATTGCGTATCCTATACTTCGACGGTCTACTATATGTACTTCTGTTTACGATCACTGTTTATGTAGGAACTTTCCATTAGAAGAGTTATATAAAAAGAATTACCCTCGACATCAATATTTACTCTTCAGTTATTATCATACGACTTGTCCCAAATCGTAAGTTGGATGAGCATACATATTTATTTTGCTTCTTTCAAATCCTTAATGGAAATGACAGTAGCTTGGAATTAATCGATATGTTAACATACTGCACCTTCCAAACTCCGACATTCTGGTTAATATCTTCTGTAACTTAAATTTTAAATAGGAAGCAAACGGTAAAAATCAAATAAAGTGTTTGTATGACTTGTAAAAGAGTAAAGCGTAATCAATTTCTTTTCCTGGAAGTACATATCATATAAATATTTAGCATATGCGTACCAAACGCTGAACAATGGCAGAGAATAGTTCAAGCAAATTTGTGTAATTACAATTGTACAAAACAAATATTCTTTAATTTTGCGATTAGTTCTTTAGATATAACCAAAGTCAAGTGAATACAACTTAATCAGAAGGGCATTATTTATGTACAAACGATTTAACGTTCTTGCATACAAGTTTGATTTTCATTTTACACTGCACATGTGCCGATTAAACTGAATGAAATAATTAAACGTGCATATATGACCTTCACAGTTTAGCGGATGCGCTCAGCAGAGTCCTTTATTTTTAGAGAACAGCATCCGGTTTGTTAAATTTTTATTGGAATATAAATTGATGTTTTTTTATTATTATTTTACGCAGCTTAGCTTACGTAGCTTGTTACATGATCAGCTTTTCATTGTCTACATCATGTAACTTTATGTTATTTATGATAAGCATTATTACTTATCCATTGAGACAAGACATGTACATATGTACATACGTAAACATTGCATATACGCCGTACTGTACAGTGCACTTCAAAACCCCGTGTGACTTGGCAAATGTTGTTGGTATTTTTAGAACGATAAAAACGCATATACTTTCGTATACTACCTCATCTCAGTTATGCTAAAACTACATTATCACTAAATAAATATGGTAAACGTAATTGCAGTCATCCTAACATGCCATTTTTCATCCAACCGCTCTCTCTAATCATATAACATTTTATGCAAATAACACCTGCTAGATACGAAGAATTTATTCACTTAATTACAGTGACGCAGTAAATATATTTTACATTTGGCTTGCATTTTTTTAGATGGGCATATTTCAAACGCAAATTTTTGGCAATTCGCTTACTTTGTTGAGTCATGTTGTCCACCAATCACGCTGTCGCAACTGGACGAGGCATTGTCACCACCACTGCAGGAACTTGAAATACTGGCACTATTCCGCATTTTTTTATGTTTGTTTTGACGACCTTTGTCCATCTTAATGAGAACCATATTTTTTTCGGGGTTGTTGTTGAACTGTTCTTGTATCACAGACATTATTCCAGATACCACAACTATTTCGTCTTTTAAAATGATCCAAGAACAATAATAAGTTTCATGAAAATTCATCTAAAGATTAGTCGTTATAATACACTTTTCTCATGAAATAGAAAACTAGAAAACTTTAGCGTGCATTTTCCGTGCAGATGTATGTAGTTCAATTAAATACTTGTATAAAAATTCAGGAATGCAGTGGAATTTATAGACAGCTCAACGAATGAAAATATCCTTGATCTAATTCACTCTAGTCGAATTTCGGATTAATTGATATGGCACTGACAATCCAACCAGTTTAATGTGATTTCACTTCGTTAGGTGACACAAAATTGAAATAATCAGTCAGCTTCATACCAAATTTTTCGCAAATCTGTAGTTGGAACTTGAATTGCTTGAATGTTTTAAATTTCAGCAAAAACTGTAAATTGCATATTTAAATGCAATCACTTTATTCAATATTGGATTTGTAGCTTATAAAGTTTAGAATTATGTCTGGTATTAGAATTATATTAACTATTTTCCAAAGGCCACAGTTTTTATCCAATATTCAAACTATTCCATGCAATGCAGATTTGACAGCAGATGAGATATTAGCCTCTAGCTACATGTACTTGCCCACATAACACGGTTATCAGCAAGTTATCAGATTTGACAACTATTGGAAATGTGAGTGGAGAAGAATTGCAAAGCACCAGCGAACACATTTTCCTCTGCACTTTGTCGACAGTTTGTTAAATTTTGATTTGCTAATTCTGAGAGACTGGATGTTTGCTCGATTCGGAAGATACGGGCGTTGCAAGTGAAAGTTAAGAAGCAACTAAATGAAGAGATTGCAAAGATTTTAACTCCTTGTGAATTTGGCAAACGTACAAAAGCCAACTACACATTTCCAAGCAAAACTGAATGAACTATGTCGCGGTGTGCGATTGTGCATAGCACAAGTATGCACATACGTACATATGGACAAATGAACGTCTGTTTTTCCATGTTAATGTTTGCCAAGCTCAACAAGCACAGTCGATACAAGACACCTGTCCAACTGATTCGAACAAAAATGAATTATAACGTAGGCATACAAGCGATAATGATTTCATTGCATGGACGAGTTGGATGAGATCAGTATCAATATATCAGCAATAACATCCTTGGGTGGCATTATTTTACAAACTGATAAGTAATAAGTAGTCATGTGCGAAATGAGTGCAATATACTGAAACCCAACCATAACACTACACATTGAGATTAGTTGTTTGTTGTATGCATTTAACGAATATTAACGATATATGAATGTATGGCTATATTAGTATTGATTTTTCTATAAAATATGCTTTTCAAAAAGACAAGGAATTACACCCATGAGGGAAAAAGGTTTCTGAACAGTGTCTAAATAAACAAGTAGGCTCCTCATAAAATATTTAATTGCATAATAATTTTTAACGGAATATGCAATGTATAGCCTATTTACTTCTTAATTTAAAATGATTTGGTAAAAATTGTTTTCTTGTCATGAATCCTAATGTTAAAAATTCTACTTTAAATTATGAAATTATATATTAGGAGCTCTCTTACGTCATAAGTATGCAAAGATTTCGAAAAATTTACATAAGTAAAATTAGTGAATCTCTTTATAATAAAAAAAACAACAGATGAACACGCTCATTCTGGTCTGAAGTATGAACAGTTTTAAACCGCAAAGAAATTTTATGCAGATGCCAATATTCCTTAGGAGAAAGGCTTCACTACTTGGCCCTCCCAGATTTTGATGTCCTTTGGATATATTGTAGTACCCGATAAGTGAGCAATGCCTCCAAGTAGTTTTTGTGCCATTTGCGCCTGCCACACCCACTCAAAAGGCACAAATTATACAAATTAACTTTTTCAAGAGCTCCTCAAAAATTCATGTTTGTTCAGATTTTGAAAATTCCTGCACGACTTTAGCCCAAGATGGTTGTTTTATCATATCCAGTACCAAATTCAACGTTTTTAGATTTTCAAATATTTTTGAAAATTTCCTGACCGAGTAAAATGGGATTTTCGGTGAGGGTTTAAACGAGTGAAAAGAGGGTGTGTATTTGGCCCATTGAGTGGGCGCAAATGAGGACATGGCATGGCATCAAAACACGTTCTTGTTCACTCGTCGGAACTAAAACATGTCCAAAGGGCATCGAAATCTGAGAGGGGCGAGGAGTGAAGCTCTCCTCCTTAGCCTCGTGTTTGTTTGAGAGTATTTTCTCTATAAATAGCTCCCACCAGACGTTCAATGGCAAAGTAGGAGAATAAAACGACCATTTTGATTGGATATGAATACTGAGAAAAGAAGTTGTTCAGGTGCTCCTTTGAGAAAATTCGGAGCTTTCAAGATGAGAGACGACTACGTAACGAAACTGAATGAATCAACAAACTTCACTTTTCAGCCCAAGCCCCGAAATCTCATTTTCAGTTAGAATTTAGGATATGCAAACAAACTCATCACATTTCCAATTTTCTTCGTATGTAGGTGGGACATGAGCAAAAGAATTTGGTTTGAATGAAAATAAATTGGATCAAATGGAGCACCTTACGAGCTGCGTAGAATTTCATTATGTAACGTTTCCTTAAAAATTCATTAAAGATAAAGCAGCACAAAAAGATTTAAAACTCAAAAGTATTATTTCTTGCTGGTTGGAGTTGTTATACTACCAAAATAGAAAAATGACTACACAATGGGTTTATTTTCCAAATTTGAAAGTTATATAATACAACCATAAATATAGATACAACCATAAATTGTAAATGTATGTTTGAAGATCCAAATGCATGATTATTACGCCGGACATGTCTTTTGTACAATGGGGACGTCTTTGATTAATAAGAAAAGTGTCAAGCAGAAAGCATAATGCGACGTCATTGTCACTCACTGAAGTCTACGCAAACCCTGGCAAAGAAAATGCTGGACCACCGCCCAGTCACCAGTACCAAATTTTAATATAAGTGCAGATACTTTCTTTCTTCTACTTCTCGTGCAGCGTCGAAACACGAGGAGATAATATGAACTATATCAATTCGGACGTTATACGTTATGGAGCCGTGAATTATAAACAGGGAAATACTTCTATTACTTCTTTATAAATAGAGGAAATTGCACAAAAAGTAAAATGTAGATGTAAATGATCAACATGCACATGGACTACATCCAAAAATTATTTTTTAAATTCAATATCTTTAGAAAATATATAATTCGTGAAGTAATTTGAAGTATATTTAAAAGTATTAGTCTGAAACCTTATTTTTGATGAGATGATGGATTGACTCCCATGCATACTCACACCACCATCCTCACAATCCGATCCTGTTGACACATCACTGGCACTTGAAGATCGGTATCGGAAGAAAGGGTCAACGTAACTCATAACTAATTGCGAATATTCCAGCTCCATCTCAAGATAAATTTGTGCTAACGCTTTATGAACAAAATAATATTAACGGGAAACAACACTTGTTTACTTCACAATCTTAGTTTGTCATTTAAAAATAGTATTTTCTGCAATATGGTAATACCCTTTCTAAAAATTTCACGATTGTAAAACTACGAATATTTCTTTTCCGTAACACAAAAAGCAGGGCAATAGAGGATGAGATCCAGGAATATTATTTAGGAACCATGTGCACACATAAAGTTATCGTAGAAAAATACACGTCAACAAAGTCGTCACATATCGTGACTGAAGTAATCTGTATTGAATCCCACTAATTTGTAAGTATGAAATATTCTTGTTTCAACTGCTGAGCAGTTAACTAACTTTGTAACATTTTGTATACAAAACATGTAGCCATAATCGTTCTATGTGCTACAGTTTCTATTCTAATATGTTTCCCAATAACGAACCAGCAGAACTCTCTCCACAAACAATTTATGTCCAGTCAAACTTATTCAGACATTCAGAGTTGCATAGTTATGAAAATAATTTTGGCATCCGCTTGGCATACTATTATAATTTGCTACAAACAGCCTACGAATATCAGAATACATTTCCTCGCTATTTCACATCGGCACACACTTCGCATATACGTAATGCATAAAAATATGATACCGAGAAAATCGTTTAGCGTATCTACCCAAATATAAATATTGGGTTCTCGATACAGCATACTTATCATTCAAATGCTAATTTATGCACCTTGGTGGCTTCAATATGTCAAGTACATGTCAATACTGGAGAGCTGGAATTTTTCAGTGTAAAATAAATCTGTAAATCTTTCGTGGTTGACACGCATGAATTCAAAATTATAATAAATAGCTTCACTGTCTACCCACAATGAATAAAAATATCTACATGGCCATCTACATCGTTGCCTTACAAATTCAGCGTGTACATTGTAGCAAAATTTAATGACAGCTCCAGAGTTGTCCTTTGGATTGGCAATATAGCACAGTAACATGTTTTGAATCAAAAGTCTCTTTCACTTAAAAAATGCATTTAAAATTTTGAAAAAAAATGCAAAAAAATGCTTTTTAGAAGTATTTGACGTTGACAACTTTTTTCCTAATTGAAAAATCAATTAGATCTCCTTTGATTAAAAATTGTTCCATTAAAGGCGTCGTTTGTACTAGTTTCGTGATAAAATTTACATTCATTCTTCTTGATATACACAACTGGGTAACACCAGCGTGCTGAGTAAAAATTGCATGCATGTTATGGACACGAATGGAAATAAAATTTCCGGAACTTTCGTGCCGTGAGTATTTTTGAGGAAATTTTACACAGGTCACGTAGGTCAATTGAGTCAATTCAGTTGTGTACTTCCAAGTAAGTCATTGAACTCTGTAAGCTTGACTCAGATCCCCAGAGATTTATAAAAGAACAGAAATTTTGGCGTACTTATTTCATCAGCTAATGCACACATATGTAGAAATCCACCCACAGATTGGAGTGGAGCAAATGCCGATTTAATGAAAAAATGACATCGTTGTTATCGCTCAAGGACCTTCTGCATACGTATTTTATGCCCTGTCCCAAACCCCACGCTCAATAAATATTTGCTTTCATAGCGTTGAAGTCACATATGTTTACACGACACGTGTCATTAGGCTTAATGAGTCACTCGATATTTCATTTCTTTCCTAGTTTCTTTCGAAGATTAGGAACACTACCATGTCCGAAGGTGAGTAAGTATGAAATGAAATTAAAACTTACGTTTGTGTCTTCAAATCGCATTCGTCTCCAGGATCTATGATTAACAACGACGGCGTCGTTTCATCGGTAACCGTTACGATGATATTGTTGGTGCTGCGTATTTACAGAATTATGCATCAATTACTATTCGAATTAATAAACATTAATGTAAATATTTGGGTTAGTGGCTCAAAGAGGACATAGAATGAACATTGTGTGCTAATAAATTTCATTCTGTTGAACACATTGTTGTGTTAAATTTAATTTCTCTTGTGATACGCCCACACACTTATTCCAACCGTTATTTGTCCTCTCTTCTAAACTGTCATGCAAGCTTCTATGGGTTTAATAATTTTACATGCTATACTTACTGTTGTTTTAGCCTAGGCTTCCCATTTTTGGCAGGTGATGAACACTGAGACATGTTGATTCGTTGGTTTATCACTTTTTCTTATAAACTTTTCCTACAGCAAGATTCCGTAGGGTTTAGGAAACCCACGAAAAATCAATAGAGTTGTCGTTAGCCAATCTCGCTGATAATGGTAATTTGCAATACAAGTTAGTTTCATCATGCCTCATTTCACAGTGAAAAGTGAACAAGCTATTTTGACAGATTTTCTCTGTTCTCAACATTCTGTGGATAAAAATACAGCTCAAATGTACATTCGAAGTGGATTACAGATTTGCTCGACTGGAATATGTTCAATGTGTTACTACAATTATTAAGAGGCTGATTATGCACGACATTGTTTTCCAGTTTGTTTCACGGAGCAAGATTAAGTATTGCGAAGTGCTTCGACTGGGGTGGACGTGCATTTCTGTGTGTATGATTCAGGATCAGTTCAGCCGTGGGTCGGCTCTGCCAGAGTGTTCCCTATTCCACACGGATCGCAAAACTAACACGAAGGAAAGGCAACACGAAATCGAAAGTCTTTCGCTCCGAGAACAGAGAGCAGAATTCCAGCGAGATCGACCAGCGAGCAGTGGTTCGGAGGAGAAAGTGGAGAGAAAGCTCGGGTTTTATGCTCTTGATATGAAAGTGGCAACTGGTATGCACCCACGTAATACATAGTATCCGATACGCGAGTATATCGGCGTAATAAGCCTGAATTGTTCAACTGGGCTACGTCCTCCTACACAAACATCACCACCCTGCATCCCAAATCAACCACAAGAAGAGATATGACGAATTACAAACGTTGGTATTGGAATAAGGTTCACAGTCCCAATATTTAATACATTAATAAGCTACGCAGGAGTTCAAGTTGATATGATATTAAATATTTATTGAATATTTATTGAATATTTGCGAACATAAATTCAGTCTTTGATACTACAAGTTATAATTTTAACGGACTTCATATGAGAACAATTTCCGTGTTAATGATTTGAGGCAAAAAAACTCCACAAGTTGACAAATTCTTCAAGTAAAATCAAGTTCGAAAATGATTTTCGTTTACATGCAAAATGTTAATAATTACGGACCCTCGTTTAACTTAAATAATAGGGTAATCATTGGTTTAAAATTTAATATGCTGTCATAAGCAGAGCTATCAGGACGTGACAAGGTGAAGTACAATAAAAATGGAGTATTTTTATTTTCTGGTGATTATATCCTGAAAGTGAGGAACATAACTTGTGAGGAGTTGATTTAACTCTTCTCGGTTATCTAGAATAAATCTGAAATAGAAAACTCTAACTACTTGCTTATTTAGTTTTAGTTCTAAAATCTATCTATTAACAGATAATTCATGCCAATGGAACTGAGCTGCTAGCATGTCAATTCACTATTAAACTGTAAAATGAAAGACAAAAAATTGCATTTTGTCCATTTGCTTAAACATTTTCACATAGATAAATAAGTCTCGGCTTTATTAACACGTATGCAGTTTATACACACATATCTACACATATTTACATATGCATATCTGTACATGAAGCACTGAAAGTACGAAGTATTCATGTCGAACTTTGACTTCGATCTTATAAAAACTGAAAATTAACTAGAGAATTTAGTTTTAAAGAAGGATATATCTATTATATAATGTATAAGCTAAACTGCATAATCCTGTCAAACAGTAACCTGTTTGCTGATATAGTTTAGGTTTATATATATCCAAGAAGGAATCTTAAGCAGAATCGACAGAAACTTCTTGAATTTGTTAGTTAAAATTGTGCAATTCAGGTGCCCATAAAGCATTGATTAAACTTATTGGTATGTAACAATGTGTATTTCCATGCATGCATATGTAACTGCATGCAGTGTACTCTCAAGACTCGAAACGCTCATGTTCATTCATCCTTGTAATAATAATACTAAATGCAATGCTTGTGATAAGATCACGATAAACCTGAATAAAATGTAGTTCAATAAATACTGCCCTAGAATTGAAAAGGTCGTCGTCGACTGGTACAATTTTTTAAAATTATTAATTATACGTTTAGTAGAGTCTTTGATCACCCTCTTTCCTTGAATTCAGAAGTCAATAAACATTTTCTAATTGATATCACTATGCATATACGCATGCATAAGGTATGTTCATAAAATAAAATGTATATGCATTCATTATTCGTTTGGTCACATTATTTATCATGTGAAATTTCTGACTCCCACGTGATTTTTATCAATTATTGATATTTTATAAAACCAAAATTGTGTGATGTTATCCTAGGGATATTTAAATGCAAGTGGTTAAACAACAAATTGTGAGAACAAGTGGTGGAAATACTCAGCATTTCATGATCATCATTCAACTAGCAACTAATGACTAAAGAAAAACTCACCCTCTTCTCACAGCAGCCCCAGCACAATATAACCGTGCATATGTATAGTTTTAGTTGCATGTATTTGAGACTTGTATTGCTGCCACGTGCTATTCGACAAGTCTGAAATTGAAAGTATGCATGTAGGTAACTGGCTCAACATTAAGCTTGCTTTATGAATTAGGAATCTCAAGAAATACATAAACATTATAATTGACTCTTCACCCCGTCGCCCCGGCCCTCGAGATAACAACATGGAGATGTATGATCAATGGAGCTCTTTCCATAATACATGTTGTAAATGTATGTGAACCAATCCCTAAAAAGGTGTGCTTAAAACGCATCGTATTATTATATAATAATTTAGTGTGGCTAAGTAGTATATTTGGAAAAATGAGATGTCAGTGCACTTTTCGGTCGGGGTCACGAAAATTCGTATGGTATCAGGACGAAGTCTGCATATATCCTCTCCAAGAAAATAAACAACATTGCCAGTCGTTCTTTATTCGTGGTCGAATGAGCTACGCCATCGATAGTTTTTGCATTTTCTTCTCATCACATCATGACCTCTCCAGTGGATATCAAGGAAGCTAATGCTTTGGATACGGTGTGGAGCGCTATTAATTTTAGTTGAATTGAGTGTCACACAGAGAAACGGTAGTAATCATAATATTTATTGCAGCTTAAAAAGGCTTGCGAAGACTTAAAGCAGGATGAGTTAACTTGTCTACGATTTTTACGAGGTAAGATATTTTTGTTACACGAGTGCTCCAGGTGAAGGTCTCTACTTGAGGTTTAAAACCACTTTGTACGCAGCTCGAGACGGCGATGTCGAAAAAGCAGAAGAGATGCTCCGCAAGGTAAATCACCTCAAGTTTAATGCGTGAATATTGTTATTTTTTGCATTTGTATTAGTACATACAAATTTTTGCGACATATTATTTCAGTCAGTGAATTGGCGAAATGAAAATAACGTATCATCATATATTGACTGGACTCCGTCGAAGGAGATTCAAGAAGATTTCCGATATTCTTGTATCGGGGAGGATAACGAAGGCTATGCAGGTATTAAAATACTAATCTTTTCAGTGGAACCGAGATAAAAATATGTTCAATTAATTTTAGTGATGTACGTGCCGATTGGGAAATGGAACATTAGGGAAATAATTGAACAAGGTCATAAAGACGAAGCCTTTCTGTTCCGGTTTTCTATTCTAGAGCAATTCATGCACTTTGTTCGTCAAACTAAGCAGTACCAGTTCGTAATTATTTTGGACTTAAAAGAGTGCACGTACTGGAAGGTTGCACACACTGCAAGTATGCTACATATATTTATATACCAAACCAAAGTTCCAAGTATCTAATCATATTCACTTTGCAAAATTATGAATTTTTCTACACAGCCATCCAATTATTGATTTCTGCTTTGTAAGTTTGTTTATTTTAATTGTTTTCACAAGGTTTAAACTAAAGTAGAGAATATTTACAAGTACAGTCGGGATTTCGAATCCAATTATCCGGAAAGACTGCGTGCTGCCTATGTCATAAACGGTGAGCATTAATTTAATTTTTTAGAATCAGGTATACAAAGCAAAAATGAGACTAGAAATAAGAAGCATGAAAAACAAGCAGATGTCAGTTGTAAAATAAAATAAATGGATTTCGAGGTTATTAGGATATCGATTCATGGTCAGTGTCAAATTGTGAAATGGAGCGTTACACATGTATCAAATTATGTACGAGTAAAGGGGCCGCAATTTCGCAATGGGACAATGGGACAGCTCAAAGTAGAGTTAATTAGTATTTACATGGTTGTAGAAAATGTAGAGATGAATGTATTTATATATCGCTCGTCTTGTGAGGTTATACACTTGCGGTCTGCGTAGGGAATGGGCTGATTAGATAATAATCTATACGTTGCTGAATTATGCATTGCATGTTGACCCAACAGTTTATACATACATTGTATTGGAGACCTTTGGGTGATTTCGTCAAAAAAAAGCTGTACATACGTCTAAGAGAAGAAGGTTGAATTTTTATAGCTACTTGCATAAAATTCCACCGTATATACTCAGTCAGTTTAGTCTCCTGTTAAATTCAATAAACCAACAATGCAAAACTTTGCTAATAATATGAATTGAATATTAATTTTTAAATTTTTAGCTCCCTGGATTTTTCCTTACGTGTATGCATTCATTAAACCAATGCTTTCGGGACATACTCTATCCAAAGTCAAAATATTTGATGCAAATGTCTCGCAATGGAAACCTGCCTTGCTGGAAAGAATTTCTGAAAACATGCTGCCAGAAGAATGTGAATGCTAAATATCTGTAGTTCGTGTTGCAAATCAGAAGAAAGTATTTTATACGTTTTTTAATTCCTGTCTTACTTTAATTCTGTCTAAACCGATAAATATAATGTACGGATATATGATATCGACATAATTGTATTTAATTTCAATGCTATGCATACCTACTTATGTAGTTGTAACTCGTTGACCTCCGTACTTGCTTACTTATGGAACCGATCTATGCAAATGTATATATGTATGTGTGAGACTGGAGTGGCAATATTTTACGGATACAATTAACCATCATGCTGGTTACGATGTCCTTGTATGCAAAAAATCTGGAAAATATCCTTGCTTATTTATATAAAAAATAGAATGAACTAGACGAGAGCCAGTTTGTGAATGATCAGAAAGATCAGCATTGTGTCATGCGTATTATGCATGTGTATCAATCTTTATCAGCTTAATTGTAACCTCAACATTCAATTCACCCCTCACACACAATGCCCTTCTAACAACTGCATGCTACTTTCCTTGTCTGCATTATTGCAATGCCATTGGCTTGCCCCCTGAATGTTAAGCATTGCATAATGCAATCACTGATCTTTGCAATTCTAGAGGTTGACGAAATGCCTCACAAGCAATTTTGCCTGATAATTCTCTATACGTACTTCCATAAAAATGATCAGCTAGCTTTTTCAACTTGATGTGATGGCATGGCGTTCAATCTCTACAATAAACTTTGTTGAACGCATAATGTTGCGTAACTTGCTTATGAACCTTGTCAAACTGTTAGTGTGTTTTTAGTTACTTTTTGAGCAGAAACATGACAAGTTGACCTTTCTGATTGTTCGGAATTATACATTGTTTCAACTTGAACATACACGGTTATATATATTTATTGACTTAGTATTATTGGTTTTGTACGGAAAGTACTGTACAAATCATCAGTGGTTTAATGACAAATACAATTGAATCTGTTGCCGGGGTGGAAATTCTGGATCAGGTATAAAAACGATAATAAGAGCTGTAAATTTATAACAGATTTAATGCATATTAAATTTTGTTCAGTTTCGTGAAAGAATTTTCGACTTGAAGCAAGATGACGACACATTGTTGAGATTCTTGAAATGTAAGTCCCACTTTTCACTTACAAAAATACACGCGTTCTATCAGTCTTGATACCATTGTCATTAAAAATATAATTTTCCAGACAATGCATATAACATTTCAAGGTCCGAAGAAATGCTGAGGAAGGTTAGTGCTGGGTTGCTTGATTTAATATACAGAAAATTCGATCGTTTATGGATTTAACCGTCTTTGTATAAAATAGAGCGTCAAATGGCGTCAAGAGAATGATGTGGCATCTTATTTACACTGGAAACCACCAAAACCGGTTGCCGACGATTTCAAGTTCGAATGCATCGGAGAGGACAATGATGGTCACGCCGGTAAATTGAGTAGTTAACCTGTAACCTGGAAGAACAGCTTGGCATTTGTATATATACCGTGGCGTGGTTTTGTTTATGGGCTTTGATTTGATAATGATACTAAAATTGCAATGTTTTCTAGTAATTTACCTACCAATTGGAGGATGGTCCACAAAGAAAGTAATGGAAATGGGCTACAGAGACGACAGCTTTCAATTTCGATTTCATCTGTTCGAAACCATTATGGCATCCATTGAGAAAACGAGAAAAACTAAATTTGTCATGATCATGGACATGGAAGGATTAACATACAAAAAATGCATGCATTATGAGAGTAATTGTTTTCATTTACATATTCAGGAGACCACATAAAATTATATTTATTATATTTATACAGCTGTTCAAATGCTATCATTAGCGTTCAAGGACTTTGAAGAAAATTTTCCTGAAAAATTAAGAGCGTGCTACATCATAAATGGTAGCAGTTGAACCAAATATATAATTTTTCACAACTTATGCAGGTTTAATACATTACATAATTTATACTATTTTCAGCTCCTTGGATTTTTACCTACATTTACAACACAATGAAACATTTTCTATCGTCAAAGACTTTAAATAAGGCAAAAGTGTTTAACGAAGACATTCATAAATGGAGACCGTTTCTATTAGATCGTTTTCCCGTAAATCTTTTAAACAAAATCTGGAACCCAATGAACTCTACAATTGAAATTAACAATGAGACGTAATGCATACATATTGCATTCGATATGCATAAAATTATCCAATCATTTAAAATGCACTTAATAATTTCAATATTCAGTTACCAGTATTAACATGAATCGTGTTTTAAATTTATAAGTGTTTGTTACGGATTGTGCTTGTTTAATTATTTATAATTTCCTGGTGATACTTTAATTAATATATTTGACCCCACCGGTTGGGTGAGCTTATAGATTGAAGGCACCTGCAATATGCACGTAAAAATATTTCCATACACACTAAAAGATATGAATCTCGTTAAATCTTGTCTTTATCGTATAAGCACGACTGAAAAATTTGAAGAGACATCTAACTTTAATACACATAAAATTTAGCATGCATTTAGTTGCAATTTGCTTCCCCGAAATTTTACACCAAAGTATTCAAACGCGATAAATGAATAAACTTTGATAAACATGTAATTTTTCGCTGGATTTATTATACGGTGCTTATTTATTTGGACTGAGATTTGCTCACATAGTCTGTGCAACGTTTCTAATTTACTTTTGATAATTTTGCAAATTTTTGATAATGTCCAATTAACAAACGATTCATTCCTTGATTGTCGATGTGTCATAATTAGAGATATTGATTTCCAAATCTACTTACAAATTGCATAGAAAATATTTTTTGTTACACAGCAATGCTACTACATACAGATGATTTGCATATGCAAATACATACTGAACAAGCAGTTTTTATCAAGGTTTTCCAAACCTCTCCGGTTACAATACAATGTAGATACACTGCCTTTGGTTATAAAAATCAATGTTATGCTGGTACTAACAAAATAAATGCAAAGTTTTATGGTATATACTTCTATGAACCGACTGTTACCCTCTTACGTTACGCTAGATAAGCAGCACTTATGTGTGCGCACCTGTAGGAAAGTACGAAAGTTACGATCACGACTCACTGCTGAAGATGTCGGTCTATTAAATACGTGTTAATGCGTCATGCTTAATAATTTCCACTGCTAATCAAATAGTACATAATATACATTTATCTGCATACCTACATCTTTGTGTCTTGCTGTACAATGGCTAAGAAAAAACTGTGGAATTACTATTATTGCTTAGTCAGAGTGTTTAGCCATAAATGAAGACCTTGTCGAAAAGGATGACTTGGCTGAATCTTCAAATTTTTGCTCGGATCCTATCCACTCATGTCCTTTATTTGAATTTAGCCAGCATAAGGTGTTGTGTATTCATTACTTGAATAGCTAGGTATGTATGTACATACAAATACGTAGCTGTTTACAATGCAACCTATTATGATACAGCTTCAACAAGGATGTATTACAGTTGTACAGAATCCTTCCTTTAATTAAAATCGAATAAATAAAATACACACTAGAAACCAGTGCACATCAATTACAGAAACCTTCACATCAGCAATTTTTGCGGATGTGAAACTTCGTCATCCGTGCAACTAGCAGGTTTCCACATAAGATTTCTCTCACGCCAACGACACACATACATGTGTACACACACCTCAGGCGGAATCACTCTGCTGAAGAGCTAATTCTAGATATTATCACCTGAAGTAGTTGGTAGAGTTCTTGTTGTAAAGTGATATGTGCTGTAGTCTCGTGAGACAATTTACCTTCGGATAACTTGTGACTGACAGACTAATAGATTTTGATGCCCTTTGGATATGTTGCACTAGGTGAGTGTACAAAAAATGAAGAGGGCTTATTCCATGGCCCCATTTGCGTCCCCCACACCCTCTCAAAGTGGCGAAAAGCACGAAAAATACACTGCTTTGGCTAAAACCTTCGCCAAAATCCAATTTTGGTGAAGAATGATAATGATATGAATACGGTAAAACAATATCTAGGATCACAAAAATTATGAAAATTGTATGAAAATTGGATTCTTAATGAATTTTTGAATGGCATGGGGTTCCTCTTTGATGGGGTGTGGCTGGCGCAAATGGGCCCCGGGAGTTAAACCCTCCTTCACTTTTCGTACACTCACCTACATAGCATCAAAATCTGTGAGTCTGTCAGTCACAAGCTCTCCTCCTTATGCATTCCGTCTTGAGAAATCATTTTTCTTAGTCGTCCAAACAGCAAGCTTTCAAATCGTGTTTGCACTTTGCAGTAACATAGCTAACTTATTGTAACTAACTTATTTAGTTTTCGTTGATGGAGATTACTTATAGTTTTTGTGAAAAAAATAAAGACCAAACGGACACCACAATATTAATCTAGTGCAAAACATAACTTTAGGATGCTGCCTGATCATTCTGTAGAATCTCAACTTTTGACCGAGGTATGTTTTTCACTGTTTCAGAGCGTCAATCGATATGAGTATTTTAACAACAGATAGATAAGTTTTATCGGGTGCGCATTTGTACTCATTGAGCTTCTTGCTGATAATTGTATGAAAGTGCATTTATTATTCCGGTATTACTACATGAACAACCAACCAAATACTTAATTGACCAAATACTTAATTATGGATTATTTCCAGTTTAGAGAGGCAATTGACGATCCTCAAGTTGACGACGCTGAGCTGAGACGTTTCCTCCGGGGTAATAAATCGTGACCTTAACCTTACCCTTGACTAGTCAAATATTATTAAGTCCGTCAGGAATAGTAGCATTTGTGTATACGAGCTCCATGAATCACACATCATGTAGTTTTCTTTGTTGTAAAGTATCATATTCCCAAATCAATCCGACAAGTTAAATAAACCCGTCTTACTACCACCACATATCAGTAATAATACTACTTATCATAATGTAAAAATACCCAATAATAAAATTATTCAACTACCGTAAATTAAAAGCTTAAATTTTAGTGCAAATCCAGTTTACAAGAAAGCAATATTAACGGTAAAGTACATATGAAAATTAATGTTTCTTGTTAGCCAGAAATCATGACATTGGAAAAGCAATGGAGATGCTAAGGAAGGTGCGTAATCGCATTTTTATAATGCACAATTCACTTGAATTAAAAATTTTCAGAGAGTAATCGAATGAAATTCTATGTTTTCGTAAATTGAAAGTATTTTTCTGTCATTCCCACTCGCAGTCCTTGGAATGGAGGAAGGCTGTCAAGTTCGAGGAAGCAACGACGTGGAAGATTCCGCCCGAAGTTCAGCACGCATTTCCATATTTCATTGATGGTCTGGATAAAGACGGTCGAATTGGTGAGTTAGTTCCAATTACTTCGCACTTATTTGTTAATGGTTGGCAAATGATTAGTAATTCACGATTGGCTTTGTACAGTTTTTTATTTCCCTATCGGACGTTGGGAGGTTCGGAAAATGTTGGCAAATGGCTACAAAACCGAGATGGAGAAACTGATTTATTCTTCAATGGCCAATCTGCTAAAAACGATCGACGACACGGCTCATGAACAGTTTCTAATTATTATCGATCTTGCGGGACTCACTTATTGGAAAGTTGCTCATTTCGAAAGTAAGATTAATTTATGAGTTACTAATTCAAATGCACGATGAACTCATTTCGAAATACAAATATAAAATATTTTTACACCTTGCTAAAAACGCAATTTCAAAAGTACACGAGTTTGAAAATATTCAGATGCGAGTTGAAATACAAGGTATACAAGTATTTCAAACACATTTCAAAATTAAAATACTTTCCTATTTCATGAAATATACGAGTTACGCAACATTTTGCATACATGTGCACTGTGTTTGGATTTGCACGAGTATTTAACGCGTAACACCATCGTTATTTTTGCAGCTATGCAAATGGTGCTCCAAGTCTTCGTAAGTAGAATTTTGCGTAGGGTATCATACCCATGGATGGTCAAATTTGTTATTTTTTATGATTTTCATTTTCTAGAGAGAATATGAACAAAATTTTCCAGAACGCCTGGATAAAGCTCTCGTCATAAATTGTATGTTTATAGTGGAATGATACAAGAGTAATACAATGCTATTTTTGAACCTTGTTTAATTAAATATATTCATCTAGCTCCATGGGTTTTGAACTGCATTTTTCCAATGGTTAAACCTCTTTTGACTGGGACAACGTTGCAGAAGGTACAGATTTTTGATAGCTGTGCTGACAAATATTTACCAGCTATATTGGATATTATCCCAATCTCCGGCCTACCATCAGGATTCCAGGAATACAATCGCGAAATTATTCAAGCACAAATCATAACAACTAACTAACACGCTTTTTAAGTACTGTCCAATATTATTGTTACTATATATGTAGCTAAATGTACAATTTAATAAACACGTTCTTTGCGTCTAATTAAAATATTAAAATGCTGCAAGTTTTCAGATTTACGATTCCAATTACATTTTTTCGAAAGTTTCTTCTTGACCACAGTCGGTGCACTGGTGTGTATACAAATCTTCGTCTTCATTTACACAAACATCAGGACCCCACAAGTGCTCATGAGGTCCTAAATCTCGTGTGTACAAACTGCTTCTCGCTGTCATTCGCAGTGATTTCATTTTTTTGTTGTACTTTTTAATTTTTGTTTTTGCTCTATTTTCCTCTCGTAATTCCAGTTGTTCATTAATACTTTCAAGAGAGCCCCATACTTCAATAGCTCTTTTCTCTACCTAAAAATGAACAAGAATTTATTTAATTATGACAAATTACAATTATAAATGTATGTACAAATTTACTTATGCGTGAATGCCACTGATAATAATTACCTGAAGCCTCAAATACAACTTCATGTCTCCCCATCTATTATTATGCGGATTTGGTCTTGAAATATACTTCAGAATCGGCTCTCGTCGATCAAGATCCACATCTTTCAGCAAAAATTCATTTTTAGAATCAGTCCTTGTAATGAGTTTATGCTTGTCATCCATATCCCTGCATAAACAAGAGTCATTAATCCATGTTCATTTATTCATTATCATATGGTTACGATAAAAGTACTATTCTCTCACTTGCAGCGATCACACACCGGATGGTCGAAATTAAGGAGGAGATACGACTCTGAGAAAGAAAGCCCACAATCTTGGCAATTTGGAGCGTCTGTGGGAACAAAGGCCGCTGGATGTACCGAAAGTACCTTCTCTTGTTCTTCTTGTTCCACCAAGTCGCCCTCTTCAATCAAAAATCCACCCCCTGTGTCGATAACCTTGGTCCCTTGAATCCTCACAACAGATCCTTCATTGACTACGTTTTGCATGTCTGTAAAGAGTTGGGATTCCTTTGCATCATGATAAATCTTTGCCTTTTTAGATTTGGGTGGACCGTCCGAATCTGCATTATGAGCAAATCCATCAAAGGAATTTCGAAGTCGGGCTTCTTTTTCTTCCTCTCTGATTTGAGCCTCATTTTCGATAAGAAATTCCAGTTCAGCATCTTCTACTCGTTTTCTCTGACGTTGGAGTGCAGCTTCACGGTTTCTTGTGATACGGTCTTTTTGGTCTTGGGACAAGGATGGAAGCTCCTGGGAAGACACTGCAAAAAATAAACGACTATTTAATAAGTTATTTGATATGATGTCTGGTTGGTTTTTAATAAAAACTTTTTATGTATCGAATTCACTACAACTATTGACTGGGAACTGGTTAAGGGTGATGGAATTTCTGCCCGCCAAAAACACGTGCCCATTTGATTAACATTGCGAGCGGGCTGAAATTCAAATCAAATCCATCACCCTTAACCAGTTCCCAGTCAATACTACGTAGTAGTCAGTACTACTGACTCAGTAGTAGTTAATTTTAAAAGTAGGAGACATTTTCAAATTGCTAGCTTACTTTCCAAACTATTTGCAAAAATCCCTGGACCAGTTAATCCCTGATAAATGTTTCTTGACAGTGTGCGAAAATAATATTTTGTCGTATTTTCGTCGTATCTCGAGCATTCAAGATTCAAACTGATGTTGTAGCGTCCACCATCTACCATCTACCTATGCTACAGTACATCATCTACTTTTTCAACATCTACTTTTTTTATCATCTACCTTTCTAAAAATCTCAAATTCCCCAAAAATGTTAAAGTGCCCCAAAACTCCGGGTTTTATAAATTATAAATCCACCCCCGAAATTTTTATGGGGCAATGTGAGATACATTGGGGCAACGTGAGATTTTATTTCCTATTGGGGTATCGTTCGTTTTTTAGCGAGCGAAGCGAGCAGGTTAGGTTAGATCTGCTAGGTAGGGGAAAGTGTGAAATGCTTAGCTAGCTAGCCGAGCTACCTAGCCTAGCTAGCAGAGTTACCTAGCCTAGCTAGCACAGCTACCTAGCCTAGCTAGCTAGCACATCTACCTAGCCTAGCTAGCTAGCACAGCTACCTAGCCTAGCTAGCTAGCACATCTACCTAGCCTAGCTAGCTAGCACATCTACCTAGCCTAGCTAGCAGAGCTACCTAGCCTAGCTAGCTCGCTAGGATAGCTAGCTACCTAGGTTGTATCTATCCTAGCTAGTTAGGTTGGCTAACTAAACATTTCACACTTTTCCCTACCTAGCAGATCTAACCTAACCTGCTCGCTTCGCTCGCTAAAAAACGAACGATACCCCAATATGAAATAAAATCTCACGTTGCCCCAATGTATCTCACATTGCCCCATAAAAATTTCGGGGGTGAATTTATAAATGCCGGAGTTTTGGGGCACTTTAACATTTTTGGGGAATTTGAGATTTTTAGAAAGGTAGATGATAAAAAAAGGTAGATGATAAAAAAGTAGATGCTGTACGGTAGCATAGGGTAGATGGTAGATGGCGGGCAGTACAACATTTCAAACTGTGCAGTCTGCTCTTCCCCCTGGCGCATTCACTTCAAGGCTTTTGCTGCTGCACACAATTCACAGTATTATCAAATTGGAAAAACATTTATTTAATTCGAAATAATTCAAATACGGGTAAGTGTTTTCTAATTATAAATTACGAATTAAAAGTGAAGCTATTGTGTACTGAAAATTTGTCTAATCAAATATAATGTTCTGCTTCTGTTTGTTTTTTAAATCGTGTACGTGTTCTAATCGTAAATAATACATGCAGATATAAAGAGAACAAATCAGCCAAAATGAATGATGTTATCGACATTCTGGACATGGGTGGTCCCAGTGGATCTACTGCAATGCGAAAAGTGGGTCGCAAGAAAGGAATAATTCGTCCAAAGGTAAGTAAAGCTTATTTTGTGTGTTAGATTAGCAATAAGAATTATTAAGAATTGTAAAACTCGTAAGGTATGTAACTTTTATACGCAAGTTGCATAATGCAACAATGTTAACATTCGTAAATGGGTTCATTTTATCGTATTTTTTAAGGAAAATCCACCCAAACGTCCTGATGGGATGCATCGAGAATTGTACGCCTTGTTGTGCGCCGATGGAGGCAAAAATTTCCAAGGTAGGATACGTTTTACACAATTTCAGCATATCAAGTTGATATGCTGATTATCAACATGCCAAGAGTCTGACTGCATGAACCTTGAAAAGAAATATACAATATATTCGAAAGCCTAGACTATTTCTTCCTGTAATTGTAATTTGTTCCAAAAACATGTAATAAGTATAATTATTATTTTCCAGAGCTAGCTCCCATTCTTCCAACAGGTAATAACATCGTAAAATAAAAATCTAATCCTACTGTCAAACGCTCACTCATCAATGAACATTGATATCAGTGATCGATGGTAAAATTTGTGGAAAAGTGAATAACACTTCAATTTCGTATTGTAAAATACCGTTTATTTTATACATTCTATATTATTTATTTATAAGATGCTCCCGGTGGATACAAAAAGAAGATAAAGTTGGGCGCCAGGAAGGTTCGGCAATGGAGGTGGGAAGCGTTTACTCATCCAGGTATGCATTTCACAACTAGAAAAAGATGTTTTATTTATGTAAATAGCAATGTGTTTATTAGTAATATGTTAATTCACATCGAAAGGGTGAAATAACAATGTGTTATTAATTACATGTGTATCTTGCTTGCACCAAGCTTAACAGATGTTGTATAATTTATTTCACCCAGGGAGGAAAGATGGACCATTTTTGTGCCACTGGCGAAGGCTTGGCGATGAAAATAAAGAGTATCCGTTTGCAAAGTTTAATGCAGTAAGACTACATACAGATATAACATAAATTATAATAATGTGGGCGTTCAATATTACAATTTTGATAACGTAGGAAGCTTCTGTACCTCAGTATTCTGATGTTGAGTACACGAGTCACTTAGAACATGATGGCTGGACCAAGGCAGAAACTGACCACTTATTTGACTTGTGTAAAAGATTTGATATGCGATTTCTTCTTGTGCAGGTTTGATGAAAAGAGATACAGTTTATCTTATGCAGTCATATCATTGGACAACCTATACATAATTTTACTGTTTTTCAGGATCGATGGGATAAAAGTTTAAGGCAAAGAAGTGTGGAGGAAATAAAGGAACGTTATTATAATATTTGCAACATTCTTAGTAAAGTTCGTCAAGAGGCTGGTACACCTGATCCCAAGGTAGTGCATTATGATGCGGACCACGAGAGTCGAAGAAAAGAGCAACTAAGAAAATTATGGAGCAAGACGCCAGAACAGGTAAGTTTTTTAAATTAAACACCAACCAGATGCTACACTACGTTACGTGAATATTATTAATGCTATCTATTGCGTATGTATGGTGTGTAGGTAGAAGAAGAAGAGTTTTTGCGTTCAGAGTTAAAGAAAATTGAAGCAAGAAAAAAGGAAAGGGAAAAGAAAACTCAAGACCTCCAAAAACTTATCACAGCTGCGGATGCTGGAAGTGCACAGGGTGGTGAAGGCGCTGCAACTGCAACCCCAACTGCAGGTGCAAATCTAGGCAAAAAGTTAGCGTCAGATCAAAAGAAGATTACTCTATTAGCTGCAAAGAAAAAGAGTGGAAAAATGCCTCTGGCTTCAAGAACTAGAGAAGGATCACTGACTACAAATGCTCCTGATGTGTTTTTGGGAATAAAATGGCCGGATTTTAAATCTGCTGGAGCGTTTGTACGTTCTCAAAAGTTGAAACTTCCAAGCAGCGTTGGACAAAAGAAAGCCAAAGCAATTGAACAAATTTTGCATCTTCTTGGTTTGTGTAAGTTGTACACTTATACAGCAATAATTGGCTATGGGGATGTAATTTTGTGATTAATTTGTGGATTTCAGCTATTATTCATACACCAACAGAGGAAATTACTACGCAATTTAACGAGTTGAGATCAGATATTGTACTTTTATATGAGTTGAAATCTGCTCTAACCACGTGTGAAATGGAAATACACTCTCTTGCTCATCAATCCGAAGCAGCAAATGGGGTCAAACTAGAGATTCCTTCGATATTCCTAAATGATAGTACATCAAATATTGTACGAGCGTTGGAAGCACCTACAAAATCTCAGGCACAAGCAGCCCTCCAGGCAATCATGCCCTCTACACCTGGAACCCCAATGACCCCTGGAAGCATTTCTTCTACACTGGGTGTTAGTGATTTGGACGTCGTTGTTCCACATGTATGTATTCCAAATATTATTAATTATTTAATTCCATAACAGTAGTGAATCTTAAATAATTATAACTTGAAATACTTTACAGAGAAAAAGAAAAGCAGCAGAGCAGCAGGCAAACATTCTCAGAAAATTAAAGTCAAAGATGTAAATTTGCAACCGTTCCTACTTCCTAATTCATTTGTTGACATACATACGAAAATCAACACAAACATGCATTCAGTTTAACAGTTGTCAATATTCTTTATTTTCGAATGTAACTTGACTATTTGATCACAGCAGAACATGTACATATGTTTTATTTCTTGGTAGCAATAAATTGTTATATTTTTAATCCTCAAAGTAATTGATCTAAAATATATGAATGTATGGTTTACACAGTTCTTTCACCATTTACCATTTCATTCCTAAATTAAGTTTCTCCACAGCATGAAACTCGGTATATAAAACTCTACCATATAATTCTTTGTCATGTTTTAATTCGTTTAGAATGGACCTCGCTGCATGCATATCATTTTTGGCTTCGGGAAGTTGGTGGTAGTCATTTTCCAATTTCACGGACAGCTCTCTGCTCTGGTTTCCCTCTTCAACACCTCCGCTTACCCGAACCTGAGCCCCACCATTTAGACAGCCTGCGTAGAATATTGTTAATCAACAATATATTCGACAAGAAACTTTTCAACACTGAGCCATGTTACTTGTTAGTATTCGACCATTGAATATTGAATTACCTGTTGGGCAAGCCATAATTTCGACATAATGAGGCATCGAAGTCTTCGCTTTTAGTTTCCTAACCAAAGTCTGAATGTTTCTGAATCCAGTGGCAATGCTGCATTTAATATTCTCTCCAGAATTACCTTCAACAGAAGCGTCGAAAATATCGGGATTTCTAAAACATCAAATAGAAAATTCAATTTTAGATTAAATTATTAAACTTATTTACTGCGGTTGCATTTTAGGTTTTTCCTGCTCACCGTCCAACTTTCCACTCTACTTGGTCAATCACTTTTCCAAATAAGGTGCTAGCAGCGCTTCGAAGGACAAACTCTGCATATCCCCCAGATCCAGAACCAGGATGTGACATCAATTGGCACCCAATCAAAGTATCCCCTTTTATCCCTTCTGGAAACAAGTCAACTAAGGGCACTTGCTCAAAGTCTTGCAAAGATTTGTTGAGTTTCTCCAACATTTGTTCCACTTCCAAAGCTGTGATGACCACGTCTACTTCTTTTGTTTTATATTCGTCAATAAAGAAATCATGTCGTGATGCTTCAAGTTTGCGGTCAAAGCACGACATTAAAGTTACATGATAAATTTGATCTGGTGTAAACTTCGCCTTAGCTCCGTATACCAACTTAATCAAAGATCCCATTATTTGCTGTGCAGATTTAACTTTACTGATTTTAGGAAGTGCATGTTGATGTAACTTTTCGCCGTAGCAAACCCAACCTGAGTATTAAACAAAAAATCATATCAATATAGCAATATCCCAATAATTAATTCTTTGTGAACACATAAATGAGATAAACGATTGATTGATGTATTTATGAGTACCTGGACATACCCCGCTAAAAATTGGAACATTTCTAGTTTGGTAATTATGTATGAATTCATTTGCACTCTCAAGAAGAGAAATGTCTTCAGCCACTGTAACAACGACGGTGTGATCGGCGCCGAGGTCCTTGAATAATCCTAAATACAGGTAGCATACAAATACATATAAGACATTTTTGGCCTGACTATATTTTCACTACTAAATCAATTTATATTAGATAACTAGAAAGCTACCAGCCAATTTTTCTGCCGTTTCTTGAGCAGGCATTCCATACTTGTTTGCTAAGGATAACACAGCTTGAACCCCCAGACTGACGACGGCTAGAGATTCCTGAATTTAAACAAGTCATTAAAATGGAATGTTACAAGTGTCCATGTAATTTAACAGATGAAACTACCCAAAATATTCTACCTTTGTCGTTTTATTCAACTCTAAAACTCTGAATAACTCATCGGGGCTTTGTTGTGATATTAAAACACTTTCAGCTGACGTAATGCAACCACTGCATGCAAGACAGTCGGATAGTGTGACCTCCACCTTCGTCGGTTGCTTCTTTCCCTAAAAATGTTTAATATCTCATAATTCAATTTTAGATGAATGCTTTAATTAAACTATAGTCAGTTATAGAAAGGTTGGTGCAAATACAGTTTTAACATCTGTAGACGCTCCTCCATCGTCCTCAACTTCAATCTTGATTTTGGATGAAGTATTCTCAGCTTTCGCAATATTTGGTTTTTCTGTGGGTATGATACATTCCTGTAGTTATTTCAAAAAATCTACTTTCAATTTCCATCGTACATTTGTACATAAAACAGTGATACTTGATTGTTTACTGACTTGAGATGGGTTAATAAAGTCGTCCAAATCAGTGATTTTCAAAATGCTACTAAATCCAGACATGACCGATATATATATATATATGTATAATTCCTTTCAATTATTAAACTTGTGCTGTTATTTTAATGGCAATTACGAATCGTGATTTACAATTGGTAGATTATTAATGTTAATTAAATTGAAGAATGATCACATTTCTGCTGATCAGTCGTGATCCCAAACTCCCACGTGCTGAAACTTTTACCAGAAGCGTCTCGTTTTTCTCTCGATCCTAAATCACCATCGTAGTCAAATGATCTGACTGACTTACTCTACAAGAAGTCGATTATCATCATATTTTCAAGTTATTTCTTGAAATTCAGAAATATGAACCTCATTTTTATCATTCGCGTATTCTTGTTGCGAACCGTTTTTTTATTTTCTCATTTTTACATATCTGAATTTGATAATTTCTGCATATTCGTATACTACAAAGCAATGGTACTGTGTGAGAAGACATGTTATGGGGCATGGTAATGATAAGCTGGTAATTGGCAATGCAGTATCGTTGTCACTTGTCATTCGATGGCAATCCTAGATAAAGAGTGGAATTTTAGTTCAATTATTTGATTGTCCGTTATACCTTGAAAAAATATTTAGTATGACGCATATTTAGGTTAACTTGAATTGAAAGTTTCTGAATTCACTGAATTCGAATGTCTAATTGCACTGGCGTGTGCATGCTCTTGTCTAATGTTGCATGTTAAGATTAAAATGTGGCCCCAATTAACTCAATTAAATGATATGTGTCGTCTAATCTTATCGTTGACATTCTCTTAAACACATAATGTTTATACCACACATATGTAGATATACAGATACGTAGGTAAGTTATTCCAACGTCAGGACGCCGGTGGCAGGTCAAAAATAACTTTGTGTAACTTTGATTTTTAATAAATTTCAGTCCATAAAAAACTATTTATGTACAAAGTAGATCGTTATATGTTCCAAAAATGAATTTCAAGTTGTTAGTCACCTTTGTCACAATACTGCATTTTGGTCACACCGCAAACATCACTATAGATGTTGGTGCAGACATCACAAGCAGCCCATCATGGGAGAATCAATGCGCCAGCGGATACCATCAACTGGAGACGTTTAGTTGTGACCAAGGTCCGCTGATCCCACCAGAAGATTACACGGGGAGTGAAGGGTATTGGACAAGATGTTCCGTTTTCTTTGTTCCCCGATGTGACATTTTTTACCGACCTCCAGAGGGAACGGTGTGGAAACAGGTCATTAAAAAAGTTAATTACACATAAATTAGCTAGAGTTCAAGCCTATATCATATTTATCAACAGGTCATCATCGAGGCCTACTTTCAAGGAGGGGCATCAGTTGAGGTGGCCGTAGAACACACGGGTGGTTTCTTTACACGATTCCTGCAAGCGACTCAAGGATGGAACACCGCCTCCGTCGATATCTCGCAATTGCCAACCATTATTGTATGTTGCCCAAATATGACACCATTAAGGGCTCCCCTCTTGTTAAGCTAACCATAATCTAATTTTTCAGGAAATTAAAGTAGCTCCAGAGTTTCAGGGGATAGCCTCATACACAGCAATTGATAAAATCATATTGGACGACGAGGCTCCTCTGCCTACCACAACAACGACAACAACTCCACCTCCGTCAACCACTGAAGGTCAGGTTGAGACAACACTTGAGGAGGATATTACTACAGAACCATCACCAACGGTTTCAAATTGAGAATGATAAGTTGTGTGCTAAAACAATACGCATCATTTTAGAAAGTTTTTAATTTCCACATAGTGCTTGATTACAAGTTTCAAGTCCAATGTAATTACAATAAATATTGTTGTTCATGAAATTATTATAAATATTGATATTATTAGATTTGCAGACTTGTTTTGCACATGTACATACATATATCACAGGTTTCATTACTTTTATTAGGTGCTCAAGAATTCAATATTGCAGGGTCGACACCTTCACTTGCCATTTTTTGCATAATTGCTGCCGGTGGTACGCCCACATACATCATTTTAAAGTACTTGGCGTATCTGGGGTCTTCTCTAACATTGTTTTTATTAGTTTTATTATCATCATCGTCCGTATTTTCAGCACTTTTCTCCGATGTCTTGTTGTCAACCATTTGAGGAACTGGGTTTTCTGCATGTTCACTTTGTTGCTGACTGCTAATTTCCTGTGATGCCACTTCCGGAGTTGATGCTTCAAATGTACCGGAAGTATTTTGAGCTATGGCACTTTTAGAAGAAAGGGTGGTAATGTTTTCTGAGGTATTAGGTTGTGTCGGGGGTGTAGGCAAAGACTCCAGTTTGCATTCTAAGATCCTTAGAGCTGACTCAATCTTGAATAATTTTTGTTGAATTTGATCCAATTTGTTTTCACATTTTTCCGCAAACTGTTAAAACCAAATGACAAGAATTTTGACAAGCCAATTCATTAAAACGAATGCATTAACACCAATCAATTTTGAGCATAGTAAAATTATTCATGTAACAATTATTATCTTCGTATTATTTAGCCAACCTGGTTTAAGAATGTCACCGTAGTGCAAAGAAAGTGATTTAAGAAAGCGACTACGCGACGGTTTTCTAATGGTTCCACTTTATTGATGTCAATGTTTGAAACAGCAACTGATATGCTGTCCACCTCTTCCATTATAAAGTTGAGATTTTGACCAGTCTGCAAATAGTTGACAACTTATTATAAAGTTTTATTCGATATGTATATGTACTTCCATTTTTTAAATTTTCTTATGTTACCGAAGTTCACAAATTTTTTGTAGTTTGATTTCCGAGTGATATAAATAAAATGATTCAATCCTTCAATTTCTCAATTGCAAAATTATTCCAATTTCAAATTAATTGCACAATACATTGAAAAAATTCAAACTTAATACAATTTCATCATTGCGGGATTCGAGGCAGTGAAAAGTGAGTTGGTTTTGCTATGATTCAGACTCAATAATCATATCTTTATTTCGTACGTTTTACTTTCTCTTTTGCATGATATTTTACACATTTTCAGATTTAAATTATTTATGTTTCACTATTAATCGACATCGACATCTTAAAATGATTAAAAATCATTCAGAGATCTCTAATCCTATATATTTCCAGAACGATTTTAACTGGTGATGTCATGAATTTATGAATCATACATGAGGAATTCTTAAAGGAATATACCAAATCACTACTTTGCAATATTGTTCTGAATGATAAACCTGTCATTGTGGAGATTTCGACTCTCGACCCCTGATTTTGGCAAACATACCATGATGCCATCTGAAAGGTATGCAAATTGCATTATTGTTCAGTAAGTCCGTTATTATTATTGTTATTGCTGAAGTGATCCACTTCAAATATTGATAAAGGAAAAAAAGTTGTCATATATCCAATAATGTAAACGGAAGGTAATGAACAAATGCACATTTTGACTGGTGATTATAAAAAACAAACTTTTACAGAATATTAATTATTTTACTAAAAACTTAGTTAGGAGCGCAATTTCTCCCAATTTCAATTGCATTGTGCATGCATAACATTCACGTTCACGTTTACAACTCCACTCCGCTTTACAAATAAAATTGGACAAGTACTATTATGACAATTGATTGATAATTGATAATAGGATGGTTTTCTTGGGCTAAACCCTCAACAAGATATATATACATTTGTAATTTGTATGTATATATTTGTGGCGTACATGCGTGCATTATCTCATTAATGTCATTTTGCAATACTTCATACTCATGTCGGCATCCATATGTTCTTCTGATCGACATATTGATATGGCTTGTAAGTAATTTTAATCAATCGATGACGAAATAAATAGACATGCATCTATTTTTAATTGTCAAAGCATAAAGTTAAAACCACAAACAGTTTGATTTTAGGCAAAAGGAAGAAGGTTCACTCGAATTTTGTTTCGGTCCTTTGTGTATAGAAATGGCCCACAAATTTTGGCCACTCTTTGCAATAGTTATATCAACACTAAAAGGCGGGGATGGTTACTTCTTGGACACAAATGGTGATATGGTTGACGGATGGACACAGTCTTGCAGTGGGGGTTACCATAACCGTGAAGATTCTGTCTGTCCCAACGTGGAAATGCCCTCGCTAATTCCGGCGGACGATGTCAATTGTCATGATGGATTTTGGACCCAATGTTATTCCGGTCAACCAATACCAGAATGCTCCATCACGTTACGCAATTCGTCTTCTTCTTTGCCTACAAAAGTTGGAATTTTGGCGTACATAACTGGAGGCGCATCCCTTACGCTCACGGTAACTTCCCAGAATTCGAGCGTGAAAGATATCTTTATATCACACGTTGGATGGACCGATCTCTACAATTTTATTGACATCTCGTCATATTCTCCAGTTCAGGTAACTAATTTTGAATCCTTCTTAACATCGATTGAGAGATCCTACATATGCATTCATTCACTTTTGCAGGAAATTAAAATAACATTGTCGTATCAGCATGTCAGGTATTATTCAGTTCTGGATCAAGTGTTAGTTACTGATGATACTGAGCCTACAACTGAAGAACCATCAACGACCCCCTTATGTTTGTCTTCAAGTCCGACCACGCGAACCTCTTCTGTACCGACACAAACGTCTACACCTGTCAGTGATGGGTCAACCTCTTCGGCGACGGATGATACCACCACATACGCTAGTACTTTCACCACCACAGACCCTAGTACTTTCACCACCACGGACGCTACTACTTTCACCACCACAGACCCTACTACTTTCACCACCACAGACCCTAGTACTTTCACCACCACAGACCCTAGTACTTTCACCACCACAGACCCTAGTACTTTCACCACCACAGACCCTAGTACTTTCACCACCACAGACCCTAGTACTTTCACCACCACGGACGCTACTACTTTCACCACCACAGACCCTACTACTTTCACCACCACAGACCCTACTACTTTCACCACCACAGACCCTAGTACTTTCACCACCACAGACCCTAGTACTTTCACCACCACAGACCCTAGTACTTTCACCACCACAGACCCTAGTACTTTCACCACCACAGACCCTAGTACTTTCACCACCACAGACCCTAGTACTTTCACCACCACGGACGCTTCCACTTTCACCACCACGGACGCTACTACTTTCACCACCACGGACTCTACTACTTTCACCACCACAGACCCTAGTACTTTCACCACCACAGACCCTAGTACTTTCACCACCACAGACCCTAGTACTTTCACCACCACAGACCCTAGTACTTTCACCACCACAGACCCTAGTACTTTCACCACCACAGACCCTAGTACTTTCACCACCACGGACGCTTCCACTTTCACCACCACGGACGCTTCCACTTTCACCACCACGGACGCTACTACTTTCACCACCACGGACTCTACTACTTTCACCACCACAGACCCTACTACTTTCACCACCACAGACCCTAGTACTTTCACCACCACGGACGCTTCCACTTTCACCACCACGGACGCTACTACTTTCACCACCACAGACCCTACTACTTTCACCACCACAGACCCTACTACTTTCACCACCACAGACCCTACTACTTTCACCACCACAGACCCTACTACTTTCACCACCACGGACGCTACTACTTTCACCACCACGGACGCTTCCACTTTCACCACGGCAGACCCTAGCACTTTCACTACCACAGACGCTAGCACTTTCACCACCACAGACCCTAGCTCTTTTACCACGACGGACGCCAGTACTTTCACCTCCACAGAAAGAACCACTTATACCACGGAAGATGTAACAGATACAATCACCACTGAGGAGTCGACTTTCTCTTCCATTATATCATCCTCTACAATTGAGGTATCTACCATTACTTCAACAGAAACATACACAACGCAAACAGATGATGCGAGTACAACCACGACCGTTTGGACAAGCCAAGGCACCCCAGAAACAACAACCACCTCGACACACGGGTCCACAGAGACCCCTTTAACCAGTACGATTAATGCGACACTAACTTCCGAACTACCACAATCTACCGAAACAAGAATCACAAGTCCAGTCACCTTTCCTCCAACATTTATCCCGTCGTCCACTATTCACAGCACACCATCAAATGACAAGGACTGGAAAATCCCAATATTGTTCATTAGTTTGGGGCTTCTGATACTGCTTTGTCTCATTCAATGCTGCATCAAATGCATGCCAATTCAATGGTTAACAAAACCAAAAAGTGAAAGGAATATATCACAAGAACAATATAACGTCAACGCTCAATCTCCGCCGTCACAATACGCATCACCTTATCAATTTAAGAATTTGCCTCACAATTCTCCACTATATCCACATAATAATCCCACGCCTGGACCAGGAATAGGTTTTAAAACAATACCAATCAACTTCAACAGATACCCATCAGAGGTTACTGGCAATAATAACTTTAATGGAGATCCAAGATTAGCTATTCCTTCTCAGCAGCCAATTCTAAATCCTTTAAACAATGCGAGCAATTTTCACCAGGCAAACGTTAACCCGTACCCATATTTTTCTCAAGCAGACATTTCTGCCGAATATGGATATGGAATTGGCCAACAATACTTTCCAAGACTGTCCAGAAGACTTGTTTAAACGTTAACCAAACTGCAGTCGCATGCTTGATTAAACAAAATACATGGAAGAATATTGATCTGTAATGCTGCGTACAAAAATAAATATTTCTATTTAAAAGATCGCATTTCTCCTGAAGAATGAATCAATTATATTCTGAAAGCTTTAGAAATAAAGAGGACATCATTCCATTCAAAACCGCACTAAATGTTTCTAAATAATCAAGGTCCTAAAATGAGATTACAAAGGAGGTTTCCTAGCGTATGTACTTACGATTAGATTTTGATTAAACCAGTGTCAATCTATTTATCACAAGTTTAAGTAGTATAACATTGGCAAAAGATGCTATCTGTCAATGCTCTGGATTGGCGGAGATATTTGCATCCGAAGAGGAGAAACCCTATAGTAAATTTGGAAAGTAGTTTGTCAATTTTAGGATGCATTTTCTCCTCTTTAGATTAAAATATCTCCGCCAATCCTGCGCATTGGCAGATAGCATCTTTTGGCAATGTTATACTACTTAAACTTGTGATAGATTGACACTAGTTTAATCAAAATCGGTGAGCGTAGCATTTTTACTAACGATCTCTATAAAATCTGCACAAGAATCGTGTAGTCAATTCCTTTGCAATATGGAACGTACATAGAGTACATATGAAATACACACATACATGCATACTTCATGTTATTGTTCTATGCAAGCATTTATTGTGCTCCACAATAATATGTTAAACAGACTGGTGAGATCTTTTTCTATTCTACTTTGGTCATGGTTCATGAATATAATATACTCGTGTTTTTAAAAACAAAGTGACATCATAGTGACATCAAAACTGGTGTAAAATGGAAGCCATGTCGAACAGAAAGATAACAAGAAACCATGTAGCAATTAATTGACTACAAGATTTTTGTGTTTGCAATTGATAACCAATGGTCAATGACGACCATTTCATCCATTCGAATGAAGCAGAACAGCTCAGATGCAAAGAAGAATGCCACTATCTACATATGCATTACTGCTGCTGGACTTCCTATATTTTCAAGAGTATCAGAGTAGTCTGTAGTGCCACATGGTTGTTTCGTGAACAATTAAGCAAACGTTCATGCCTGCTTTTTCATACACAATTGAAATCATCAATATTTTTAAAAAGAGTTTACATCACTCCAGTCACTAAAAGTTGTCTTTGTAATGTTCCTTCGAATATATTTCAGTATCATACTTTCACTACCTGTGCACTCTTTCTTTGAGTCCGAAGTGGATCTTGAGCCCATTAATCGAACATTACTTACTCAGATAGGAGACTGTTCTTACAATGAAGCTCAAGAGTTTCAATGTAATACGATGGACGGAATTCCAGAAGAAAGTCGTCGAAATACTCTTGGATTTTGGCATTCCTGCTCTTTTAATTGTGAATTTAGACACTTTAAGCAACCATCTACCATTGAAGCGTCAAGAATAATAATTGAAGCATATCATCATGGAATAGACACAGAAATTAGAGTTGTTGCAAGTTATGATGGAGACTCATCTACCGTGAACTTTACTGGAACAAATTCATGGGAAAATCACACAATTGATTCCACGGTCTTTAATATGACCAAATATAATGTACAGTAACCATACTGAGAAGCTTGTATACATTTAAAACTCATTCATGAATTCATATTTCACATAAAATTGTGATTTTCAGTACATTGCATTCTATATATTCTCATCCCCGGAGAATTTCTCAGTGCTTGACAAGATAAGATTTGACCTCATTGATTTCACGCCAACAACTACAGAACCAACTACATCCACACCCACGCAGTCAACTACTACCACGCCGCCGGAGTCAACTACTACCACACCCCCAGAGTCAACTACTACCGCACCCCCAGAGTCAACTACTACAGCACCCCCAGAGTCAACTACTACCACACCCCCAGAGTCAACTACTACCACACCCCCAGAGTCAACTACTACAGCACCCCCAGAGTCAACTACTACCACACCCCCAGAGTCAACAACTATTACACCCACAAACCCAACTACTACATCCATTCCTACGCAATCAACTGGAACCACCCAAACAACAGCAACCACGCCAACAGAACCAACTACTACAGTTACATCTACCCAATCTACATCCACAGAAAGGCCCACTAGATCCTCGACTACAATATCAAGTCCTACTTCAACCTATTCAACATTTCCCACTGTATCCAGTTCTACAACAGAAGTTTCATCAAATGTTGACTCTGAAAATTTTTGGTCATTTTCTAACGCTGGGTTTATTGCATTATTTGCATCACTCATCCTGATTGGAATTGGTGGCTGCATTCTCTCTTTATTTTATCTTGAAAGAAGAAAACGAAGGAAAGAAAAGTATCTTGAGGACACTCTTGGGCCTGAAACTCCTTATGTAATCTTGCCTTTGCCCTCGACCAGTAACCAAATGAGTAATCAATCGCCAGCAGCCATCAATAGCACAGCAAATCAACTTAGCAATTATGGTTTGACCAAACGACAAGTGGGTGGAGCATCAGAAATATACACCAGAGCCCAAAATCCATCCAGTGTATACAGTTATGGAACAGGAGACTATTTTCCAAGACTGGCTCGAGGAGGAAGTTAGCACAAATAAAGATCCATTGTACGCAGACATGCGAAATTACTTAACCTAATCTGATAGCTAGAGACTATATTCATGTATACATAAAATTCCAGATGGCTTCGGGCCTTCAACGATAACAATGTTGACTGATACTTCACTTTATAGATTTGATATTTCTATGTTGGTCACGGATTGCACTTACTAATAAAATATTTTCGATGTGTGTGTGGCATCTGTTTCGCAATTATAATTTTCGCACATGCATAAACCATGAATAGAGTAGAAATATGCCTATTTACTAAACTACCCTTGCATACGTCGGTCGAGTAGAAGCTACTGTGCAACACCATGGATGAAATTCCCTATCCTGACGACATCAACGGAACGGAAGAGTTTTCACCAAAGACTTTCCAGGGAAGCATGATTCCCCCTCAAATTACCCTGTTTGTTCTGGCTGGAGTTGTACTTTTGGTGTCACTTCTTCTTGTCCTTCAACTCATTGTGACGTGTCTGCGGCGATATTGCATTGGGAGAACTGATCGAAAACTGTTGAAACAACCTCAAGAAAAGAACAGGTCACTGTCGATGATTGCTTCCGCATTTGGAGCTGCCATATCCAAGCGCATGCGAATGGCAAATCCTAATTTCATTAGAAAGGAATCGTCGATGAGCGTCGTTTTGCCTGATTCGGAAATTTCCACCGCAACACAAGAATCCGTCGTCTCTAATGATTCTAGCCACCATGATCATTTTGGAGTGAAAATGGATGACCGTTCTTCCACCACGACTATCAGCAAGGCATTCAAAAGAATTCCTGCAATGCATCGCAGTGGACCACAGGACTTCAAAATTTTCACGGTGACGACAACAGGAGGAGACCAAGAAATTAACAAAAATAACTGAATGAAACGCAATTTATTGTTATCAACTTATCTTGCACAATAAAGTATTGCACAGAATTATTTTACGCATGTCCTGTGTTTTTGTTTGAGAAGGATTAATTTACTTTTACAAACTGATAAAATTCTACGTGAGATGACGTAATCTTACCAAAAATAAGATTGCTTAAGCCTTTCATACTCTATTTACTTGTAATTTATGCACATGCCCATGGTCAGTAAACAAAATCGCGATGTGTTGAATAATTCTGTAATTGGTGATGTTCCAAATAAATGTGAACAACTATTAAAGTTCTGTTGAGGTAAGCAGCATTTTCTGCCAAATTGGGTTATATAATTATTATTTCAATAACATCGACGCGTGTGACCCCTAGGCGCTAAGAGTCGTGAGATATCATCCTATTAATTTGTACCAGAATACCTGAGATTAATGTAATACACCATGTTTTTAAAGCACAGCATAAACTTCATTGGTCATAATTATTTATGGACAATGAAACTGAATCTGATTAGCCACCACATGCGTCATCCTGATTCCTGACCCTGCATTTAGGAACACAAAGAACACAAAAACGGAGAATTGTTACGCTTGACATGTCAATACATTTTTTATACAAAAGCATGAATGATCTTTGGGGATTAACTTTTTATCTCTATCGAACTTGGATCTTGATTGAGAATCTGATCGATAAATATACAAGCTCAAATTTTAACGCGACATGATAAATTTTGTCACCTCCGTGATAGTCTGCATATTGTACCACCACTGTGTAAAATAAAGTACAGCTTTTCTGTACAGTGCTGAACGACAAAAAAGTTTGACATATAAATATAATAAGTGTCCCCAAAACCATTAAAATGCAAGGTGTATATTATAAAAAAATCATTGCTAACCTCGCGACGGTTAATTTGTTTATTGTCCAGATTTTGTGTGCATCAACTCGTACAAATTCGGCAAATTCAGAAGATATAATCATCACCGACCTTACTGAATTTGAATCCTGGTGGGTGATAAATTATGGCATTTTCACAAACATTCTACCACCAGAAATACCCACCAGTGCGAATGCCTGGTATATACATTTCGAGAATAGCCCTACGACATTTAATGTCACATTTTCAATTACCGACAATTCGTGCTACACTACCAGTGCATCCATCGAGTTTAAGTATTACAGCTACAACTCGGCAGCGACCGTGTTTCCTGTAGACCACGCGAGTGGAGATCCATTTTTCCACTTGCCAATTTCTTCCAACAGTGATCAGTGGACCACTAGTGAAACTTTGTCCATCACCTTCGTCGGTGAGCACAATAACCAAGTAAGAATCACACATTGATAAGTTACAAAACTTAATTGTATATTAATAAGGCTGGCCATTTATGCATGTATGTACATACATATGTATTAAAGGGTATTAAAATCTCGAGTTATTTTTTACAGATAACAGTCGTAGGAGAAATTTTGGAAACAGGGTACTTTGCATTTGATGAAATAGTGATCAGAATTGACGGAGCTACAACTGGCTGCACCACGCTAACAACAGAAGCTACAACAACAGAACCAGTAACTGAGGATACAACAGGAACTACGGAAAACACCGAGACGCCGGAGGAAGACATTACCTTGACCATCACGACAGTGGAGACAACTACACAAACGGAGACGGTCACGGATGCATCCACTACCACAGAGTTTGTAACATTTCAACCAACTGTAACATCCACTATAGAGATACCAGCTACTGAGGAGCCTGAAGTTTCAACAGATCCTTCTTTCACTACACAAGATACCACAACTGTCAGCACAGTAACTGCAGAGAGTACAACATTAGAAACAACAACTCAAGACGATGTCACAACAGATTTCACAACGGATTCAACCACGCCAGAGTCAACCTCAAATTCGAGTCCATCCAGTGATTTTACAACGGAAGCCTCGCCATCCACTGGAACCGAAGATCACACGTCTGAATCATCCCCCACAACACCGAACTTATCAAGTACTAGTTTCACGACCACAATTCCGGACATTACGACGACGATAACTACAACCAGAACGACGGATATAAGTTCGACAAGACCATCACCACGACCTACCACAACACAAGCTGGCTCCACGTTTTCTCCAGTGACATCACCCACAAATCCGCCATTTATTACCACCACCAGACGCATGATCCCACAAGAGGGGTTGACCACACAGGAAGTGATTCTGTACATTGTTGTTCCTACCCTGGCGTTAGTGGCAATACTCGCCATTGGATTTTCTTTCCTCTACTTGACTCAGTGTGGGAGTAGAATGTTTTCCAGAAAAGGTTTTCTAGGGAAGTCGTCACATTTGGTGACGCATGGTGCTAATAATGGCGCAAATGCTCGATACCCGGTTGGGGGACACGCAATTCATAATTCTCCATCTTCAGTTTATGAATATCCAAGAGTTCAGACGGATCAAGGAAACACATCTCACAACATAATGAGGAGGTTTCCAATTTCAGTACAACCTCAGTAATATTATCCTTCTGACGTTAGTCTAGTCATACAGTGAGTGACACAACTTTTAACAAATATGAGTAATCTTGTGTTCAAATAAAAATGCCAGAAATATCTAAGATAAAAGCCAATAATTTTGATAATTTAACCATTGTTGTCGAAACAGTGTCAGTATAATGGCGCATTATAGTGACGGCTGCAGGCTTATTTTTTATCAGCTATCTATGCATAAGTACTTCATTGTTCACACCCACAACACAATGCATTCATGCAAAAACAAGTATTACAGTATGATTAGTTCTCATCATTCAATAATCTGAAAGTTCATTGCCAATCATATTTGTCTGAAATAAATACACAGAATTAAGAGCAAGTATACCGTTAAAATAAGTAATACCTGGCGTTGTTATTTACCTAACTGTTCATGAGTGTCTATTATCAATTCTGACAGAGGGAAGTGCTCATATTTAGCAATTCTGTAACAATTTATGGCTTGAGTTATACAATGTGTTTCATATTTAACTGAAAATTGTTCAACTTTGTGAAATTTTTTAGAAGTTTTTTAGGTTCTGAGTTATGATAATCGCTATTAATGTTCAATTAGATATCGCCAAGACTGGCATACCAGTACGATAAAAGTACTCGTTCTTGTATATGTGTAGGTTCTAATTTCTATTGACTTTGTTGTTCATAGTCAATCTTGGAGTAGACACGAATGAGGTTTGACCGGCTTTGTCCGCATTCACAGATTTAACGCGATTATGGTTTGCTGCTGGAACTGTCGAAGGTGGCTGCTGCGACGAGGAATTGAGCTAAAACGTAAAAGTTTCATTATTTCTCAGCTCATTATTGAAACATTGTTCGGTTGTAACGTTTGTTTGCTTGTTTGTATCTTTATTACTGTCTTTCCCAATTCATTGCATATATCGTACCTTGGCAAGCAAGCTGTTGTTATTGATCACATTGGCCATCATTTTCCTAGAATACCTATTTTAATAGACAACAAATAAATGTTGCCAAACATTAGATACTATTTTGGCAAAAGTTTAATCAGATCAAAATCAAATATAAATGCATCAAGTAACGAGTCAAATGCAAAAAAAAATCAAGTCTAACGTGCTTTACTCCGAGCCAGTCTTACACCCGTTACCCAACCCGTGTGATCTGATTGGAAATTTAACTCGATTCAGAGTTTTTAAGACCAGTATGGGGCAAAATATTTTTAGCTGCATATTAACAAAATTAACACAAATTTTCAGTTATCCTAGGCTAAATTTTTAAAATCGGAATTTACTGACCTGACAATTTACTGACCTCCGATATAATTTTACAGTAAGTATATTTTATATCCAAGAGTAACTATTTTACCAAGTCGTCTCAGCTTTCTCCCATTGCAGTTCATTTCATATGTATGATATTATTTCGTTTGAAGCTTTCTCCATCTCATAAATTTCAGGCTATTGTGACCATTTTAAAAATTGTTCAAAATATCCCAGCATGACACCCACTAGGTCACTCTGTTCTCTGATTTTCTAATCTTTCAAGTAATATGTACAAGCCACTAACAATTGCCAATGCAATCACAGAACTGCAAGTCAATTGGCTATAGGATTTGTTTGAAGAACAAAATCTTCAAAAAGACTGACAGAAGGTATGGGTGGAACATAAGTCCTGGCTCGGGCTAAAATCTGTGCTTACTCACAATGGATTTTGCTGCCTCCAAAACTTTTCTCTGTTCTCCAAATAATTTAGTCCGTCCTTTGCTGTCTCACGCAATTCTTCAGCATGTCCCATTTGCTGTTTTACATCTATTTGGAAAGAACGTTGAATAAATATTTACGAAAGTCATTCGTAACCATTCTAAACTTCTCTGAACCTGATCGATGAATAAACTTTGCCAAATATTGGTGATCCATGTACATTTGTCCGAGCACTTCGCGTGTAATCCATTGATTTTTTTGCTTGGATTGTGCTTTGGTCAGTGAAATGGTTTTATCACCAAACCTCCTCCGGAGAATGTTCACCAGCAAGTCCTCGTCTTTGCAGGTGCTCACTGCCTTCCGCTTGCTTTCCTGGAGTTCCTCAATTATGGACAGGATTTCATCCAAATTACTCATCTGAGTTGCCGTACGGCCTGTAGAGTTCAGGAGAATTTAATTCGATTTTTATCAGATAGACTTGCTACGTGTGTAGCTAATTGGGCAATTATTTATATAGCAGTCAGTGTAGCTACATACATATATACGCGTACGTATGCTGAGTAGTTTCGCGTAGCAGGGAACAATTTAGCTAATTAAATTAATGCCACGATTTGTTGGCACGAACAAAAGGTTGAACTTACTCCCAATAGCTCTTTTGATGGCGTCCTGAGATTTCTGTACTCCAATCCGGAAACATTCCATATCCTTTCTGAGTCGGTATCCTTGATGGAAAGCTATCAATGACTTTTCGAACTCACCTGAAAAAACACTGGTGGTGAAGCAATTGGGAAAAAAACCAAAAAACCCCATTAATGTTTTTACTTACCAAGTTGGTACAAGGCCTCAGCATAATGATACAGACCCTGGATAAATGTCTCATTTTTCCCTAAAGATGTTTCCGCATCTTAAAGCATATACATAATTGTTAAGCGTCATTATTTTTCTTTTTTTGCTAAAATTTTTATGAGCAATGATTTTTGGGTAGCAAGACTTTACCTTTTAAAGCTGAATTGGCGTCACCGAGCTTAATGTGACACTGACTTCGTGCCACCAATGCACCTTATTTTTACATTAAAAGTAGGTCAAAGTTTCGGTCGTAAACAAGAATGAAAATACAAAAGAATGTACCCTTGTGTGTTGGTTGTAGCTCTAACGCCTGTAATAAAAATATAGGCTTTTTTAATAAATTTTTACTCACAATGCCCCACTCCGCATTTACATATGCAATGGATGATATTTTATTGTGGATTCTTATTATTTTATGATGCATAAAAATATTTATTTACATATGTGCTAATGTGCTGCACATGATTTTGCCCTGTGACGATAAATATTTATTTGAGATGCATTAATGTGAACCTTATTTAAAGTGGCAAGCGCAGCCTGTGGCGTTTTTCTAACTTTCAGCTGATACAACGCTTCGACGGTCAGCATTGACGCCAAATATTCCTCGCTGCTCATGAAATCAAGCGATAATCGCATTTTTCGTTCCCTTTTCTTTTTCGCTTTCAACGACTGCTTGATATCCCTCGACCCCAGTGTCACCGCTGCAGCCCGGTCCTTGTCCGTGTACTCTTCCTCCCGTTTCCGCTTACGGATTCGTCGAACCCTTTTATTCGCTGTGATGTTCGACGTCGCCGCCGCCGAAGACTGTTTTTTCTTCTCCTCTTCTGCATCTTGAGATGCCAGCGACATTTTCCGAATTTCTAGTAATAAACTTCCTGAAGTGGAACGAGTCGGGCGTTTTATCGGTACCCCTGCACAAAAAAGATCCAATCTCAATTGTGTTTTCTACTGAGGTCAGGATACTCGATTCGTTTGAAAATAATAAATAATGCAATCGAATCTACTACCTTATGCAAAAAAATCACCTTTTACTTTCTCCCGTGACCCATTAGGGAAAACTTCGGAACTCATACTAATTTCTCCTCCTGGTCCTTGTGCAAATTCAACTTTTTTAACTCCACCCCTGGTCGAATCCTTTGTACTGTTTTCCCGTCTTTCCAAGTTTGTCACAGGCAAGTTTTTACTTTCAGAGGGCAAGTATTGTGCTGCTGTTTGGGTTTGATTATTGGGCTCTGCTACGGATTGGACCAGATTATTGCTGTCCCATTTCAACAACTTTCCGTCGTCTCCACTCTCACCTCCTGCAGGACGGGCGTTAGTGTTGGATTGGAGAAAGTTTGAGGATGCGGGGACACTATTAGCAGAGCCAAAAGCACCGGCCTTTTGTGTTGCTGGTGGCGTTTGAGGTGTGGGCACACCAAGATTGCCCACACTGCCATTAATTCGATTATTATTTGAAGGAATGCCTGGGAGTGGGGACGAGGATAAATCAATGGAATCTTTGTCCTCGTCATCGTCCGAACCTCGCCACATAGAGAGATCTAATTTTCCACACAATTTTATTTCTGTCAATGCCATTTCCGCTTTGCCTTTGTGCAAAAGAAACTGCACTCTCTATTATGCGAGCTCAATAACAGCCATCATTTATCTCTCTCTAGGCACTCTTGCAACGGAAACTGCAAATTTCTCTTTCAAAACGACCAGCGAAAATAGGTAATAATGGGGAAGGAAACTGGTGGTGATATTGTCACTATATGTATGTAGCTAGCTTACTGGGCGTTATATAAGATCTACATGTATGTATAGACACAGACAGGTATAAACTCTGAAAGTTTACTTATATTTCAAATAAGTTCCAATTCTAATTCTGCTGAATATTATGTGGTGATTTATATGGAGTCCAAAAAACTAAAAACACCAAGGGAAGAAGTTGTGCAAAGAGGTGGGCGAATTCTCGATTTTGTATAGTACGCACTGCTATATATGTGCATACATTCATCAGTTCATCCATTTTGGTATGATCGATGCTACTTATTTGCAGGATGAGTGGAAGTTTCATAGACCATATATCGTCATTTACGGAGTATGGCGAAAAATACGCCACCACGATTGGCATAGAACCATACCCACATTATCGAAAAAACTTTCTCTCGACTTTCTAGAGAGAGAAAGGTGAGGTCGACTGGATTATTTTACGGAATGCAGCAGTGATATTCTTTCTTCGGGGTTGGACAATTGGCAGTGGCACAATCTTTGTCAAAAATATTGGTGAAAGCATCGCATTGTCCACAAGCGTTGCACGTAGCGATGAAAAACATTAAATTTGTAAACTCGCCTCATTATTAGTTTGTGCTTTAAAATTAAAGACATTTCTTCATAATAAATGCATGTAAAATTGTCTTTGATTTTAATGCTCAAACCATAATTGGATGCATGAATCTAGAATCTAGGGGCTTTATCGTGTAATATGTCTACATATGGAATAAGTCTAATAGCTAATTGTATGTAATTACCAGATTTATTCCAACTAAAAGGCATTGGTTGCCAAAATATTCTTGTCCAATTGAGTGAGTGAACCATCACAAAAAATAATGCATTATATTATCCTGCAATATTAGTCGGTGCTGATAGTAAGCTTTGTAATGTCTCAAAAGTAAAAAAAAAACACATTTTCGAAAGACATGTACCACCTAAGTTTAGTACTACACGCTTAAAAATGCCCTCGGTAAATAAGGGTAGGCGTACTCAAATTTAAGTACATACGTAGCGAGTTTGTAACTACGAGAGGTCCCCACTGGTTTTAAGTACATAGTGGGTACTAAAAGAAAATAAGGACATTCCCTTTACCAAGAGACTCTGCAATATCTTTGTTCTGTTACAACTACATAATGAATTTAAATATGATGAAGCAATGGTAAACAAGAAATCAAGTACTTGATACAAGTACGCCAGTCCTCAAACTAAATCTTTTAAGACTTCACAAATATATGCCATGCGTACTGAAATTAAATATGCCAGAAATGAATTAGAACATGTATACAATACAATTATCTTAGGCCGTCCTTAAGTTTCATTTGAACAATTACAATTTATTTTAGTTTATATTTGTACTGAAAATTACAATTAATCACGATTTTATCACAAGGTAAGCGTTAATTGTAAATTTAATAACGTATCAAATAATTCTTAAATAAATTAATATCATAAATAATTTTACATTCTACTGCACAAATGCTGCCAACTCCTTAACACTAGACATAACTGGACAAATAGGCTTCATTTTATAAATTACATAGTCTAAAAATTGCCACGCTCCGTAACATGTAGTCGGAAATTCAATGTTAAACACATAGAACGACTTAAATGCTAAGTCAACTGCTTCCATTACACTTGTGCATTTCACAATTTTCCGTTTGAAAATGACCAGAAAATCTTCGAATATTAAGGATTCCTTGCTACCAACTAAATACACTTGAGGGTACAGATCCAATTTGTTATCCAGAAATTCGTTGTATTTTGGCTCAGAATTGACCTGTAATAAGTATATTATTTTAAAAATTTATTACAAAATTCAATACATGTCACAAAAATAATTTACCATAATAAATGATTCAACTGAACCAAGAAGCGACGTCTTTTTACTTTTTGGCCGAATCAAGTAGGCTAGTAAAAATAGCGCTGCAATTGATGGATTTTCTGCAAGCATAAAAATAATGAAAAATTAGCGACAGTCAAACAATATAGCTGAGTTAATAAATAAAATTAAAACAACAAATGCAACACCTTCAGCAGCTTTCTCTCCAATAGTCAGGGTAGTTGCACACTTCTTAATACTTTTTGAGTAGATTAACAATTTTGAAGCGGTATCTTTCCATTTAAAAAACAAATTATCTGAGGCCAATGGGTAAATTTGATCGAAATCGTTTTGAATCTGAAATTGAATAGCATAAATTTATCTTAGAGCATACTATTAAAATGTTACGTAAATAAAACTGACTGCGCCATCGATGTCGAAAAGCCTGGGCCATGCTAAGACAATATTTTCAAAGCTGTCTTTGTTTATCCGGAATATTTTAGACCGCTTCTTGAACGATTGGTTAAGTTTTTCAAAGATTTTGGCAGGGGGTCCCCTATTGGCCTTCAACCATTCTTGGATGGACAGAAATTCCTCCTGGCTGAGTTCGTCGTCTAAATTATTAAATTAATTATCTTTAATTCCATAATATACTTAAATTCTCATATTCAATTTAGGCTAACCTTCAATTGCCATCTCGAGTTTCTCATTGCATATTTTTGGGATGGGTCTATTAGCTTGCCAAAAGTTAACAAAATACGATTGTATGAACCCTGATGGTCGTTTGCTTGTCCTTTTTCCGCTTGAATTTTGGAAAGTGCAGGAAGGCGTAAAGAACGCGTCCTTAAAAATATATTAGCATACATATTACGTTTTTATACATAGTGGTTGCTAGCTATTTATATAGAGAATTTAATAATAATAAGACCTTCAAATTCAATCTTTCATCCTCCGTCATATATGGAAAAAGTTGTTCCACTATGCAGTCTGCCAATTGTCGTCTTTGGTCTGTACTAGGGCGTGTGGAGCTTGTCTTATTCATTAAGGCGAGGCACGTTATGGAGACTAATTTTTTCCGCAGCGAAAGTTGTAACGGGTTCCTGGAGTCAGCAATTCCTATAATTTGGGATCCGTGATTGGTTCTAGTATTTATGTCGTGCTGCTTAAGAAGAGTTTTGATGTCCTGCAATAAAATTAATAATAATGTAAATAATGAAATAAATATATTTCCTATATAGATAGAAGAATTTTCTAATTACCACGATATCTGAGTCTTCATCATAAAATAATTTTCTCTTCCTAGATCGTTTATTACTTGAGACTGGATAAGGATTCTGAGAATCTCCAACTGAACTGGAATTATGTAGCGCGTTGGGTGGAAGTAGTTGGTACTGAAACTTATGAAAAATGTGCATTAGTAATTATTTCATTGAATTATTAATTATTTGTAAGGCAGAGAAATAAAAAAACTTGGACTTTTTACATGCAACAGTGGTTTGAGCAAGTCAATTTCTTCTACTTGCTTCAAGTCAAATTTTTCACTTTCCTCCACTTTATATGCATTATAGTGCTTGGAGAAAGATAAAGTTTTTTGATATTTAAATAGTATCCTAAATATATCCTGCATTCTAATAATAGCAATTACTTGTCCAAATAATGGAAGCTCGTTGCAAGATTCGAAATCAATCGCAAGATAATCATTTACAGATATTTTTAACCCTTTAACAGAAATGCGGTCAAATCTCGAAATTGGATCATTAGGATTAACGTGCGGCAGAAAGTCAAATAAATTACCAATTTCAATCTTTGCGAATATTTCTTCTGAAATAGGATACGTTTCAATTGAAAATCCCTTATTTTCGATCAGCCTATAACTTAATAACAATTGATTCCTAGTTGATACAGAACCAGTTATATTTTTAAAATTACACCCTATTTTTGCTACATGTTTAAAAAATTTGTGACGAGCTTCAAATCGCATTGCCCAATAATAATGAAGAGGACCAATTTGTTTTATTGCTGCAGGATAATGAAGCATATGATGATGTTTTGGGCGCAAACACTTATTGGTCAACTTTTGATATAAAAAATGGTGATCGCTAATAATGACTTTTAAGTAACTTAGCGATTGGGCAGAGATAACTGGACTCATAATAATGTCCATAATCTCCATGAATATTAGAAACAACTCCCAATGCGTATCATTTTCACAAAACTGGTCTGCAAATATCAGGCAAAAACTTTGTAAAAGGGTAAATGTTTGGCCTGCTGAAAGGCCTAATAAAGAGTCAGAATTCATTATCATTCGCTCTGATAGTTCATTAGGACAATCTTTCTGCAGATGCTGATAATTGAATGATGTTATTCTAAAATTGATTTGTTCCAAAGTTAGGCTACCTGAAGAAAGTATTTTTTGAAGCATCAATTTAATATTAATGGGTGCCACCCCTTCCAAGACATCGTGCATAATATCGGGACAAACATTTTTAGTTACATGAAAATTTGGGATATCATTAAAAATTGAGGAAGTTTTTATTCCAGTTAAACTTAGAGTTTTCAACTCTAAATCTGTCTGGTAATTGTCAATATTTCTACGAAATAAATTATTTTCAGTACACAAAGTGAGGCAACGATACCTTGGAAGTATACAAAAACGACAGGGATAATTTGAAACAAAGGATTCTGTGAAACCAAAAACCTGATGAAGGCCGAGATTGTCGCCGGTAACCTGCCCTAGCACAATTTTTACCTCACCTTCGTAACTGTCGGACTTAATAAAAATAGGATTTTGTGACAACTCTGAGAATTCTGAAACTGTTTTAGCTAAAATTTTTGAGATCGGATAAGATTGTAATAATTTAGTCTTAAATGAACAACATAGGAAAATATTTTCTAATTGAGACGCATGCTGTGGTGCAGCATTCAAAATTGAATAGTAACAATTTCCTAATTTATGTACGCCACGCCGTGATCCCAATGGGTTGCATACCTCTAATTCATCATAGTAAAATAGGATTAACACTACTGGAATTCGTGACTGCAGAATTAAATTTCTAAACAAATTACCAGAAACTGGGGAACTAAGAACTCCATTCTGTACATCGTTGTTTACTTCTAGAATAGAACGCATGACTCCTGGCATGGCAAGAACTTTCTCTAAGACTTTAGTGATTGGTACATAATGATACTTATCAAATTTAACTTGTGACTTCAATTTTACAGTAGCAAGACGAGAGCCCAAAACTACTTCTTCCGGTTTAATAAAATAACCGGTATCAGTTAAATATTTTTGAAGCAAATAGTCTGATTTTACCATTTCAAAAGGGTTTCGCAACTGGTCTAAATAATTGGGTAAATCATTAACTTCACTACAAGTAAATTTGCCTATAAAATTGACTACGTCGTTAAATAATTGGGAAATATTGGAAATAATTTCGTTGCAAATTGAAAGCGAAAGTCGGCCACTACTTTTTAATTGTACGACAAATTTGACAGCTTTCTTTTTAATTGCTAAAATCAGGTTGTCAAAATCTATTGGAATCGAAAATTCGGCGGGGGCTTCTATTTTAGGAGAAGCATCTGGATTTGAGGTTTCTATTTCTGGAGAAACATTTGAATCTAGAGGCTCATTCTCTAAAACGGAAGGTGATTTTAAACTACTGTTTGTCAAATATTGGTCTAAATGTTTATTTATGTGACTTTTAAAATCTACGAATCTCAACAGACTTTTTTCACAAAATAAACATTTCCAGTTTAAGTATCTTTGTAATAATAAATGTTGATATTTTAAATGCCACCAAATATCTGCCCATGTGGCTGGCAAAGTATTTTTACAAATTGTGCACTTTACCTGTATCGGCACCTCCGACGTATCGTGTGTAGCAAGTTCTATGTCACCTGATGAATTGACTGTGACCGCAATATTTTCAAGGGGCCATTTTCTACCAAGACCGCCCTGTATTTGAAGACGATGACCAAGGGGGGGTATAATTTCAGCCAATGTGCTGCTCAACGTCCCGGAATGGAGCAAACTTTTCAGGATATCGTCAGTTAGGAAGTTTTCTGTAAAATTATGAACAGTCAATAAATTTAACTGCTAGATTAGTTATTTTGTTCAAATTGTGTTATACCTTTTAACGTAACCTTGTACTGCTCCAAATTCTCTTCTTCGAGAACAACAAATGTTGTTTCGAGCACTTCCTCCATTTCTAATTATTTAATTGAAGTTATATTTTTTTAACGAGTCGACCATGCCGTGCGAGTGTTCCAGCTCTACTGCCAGATTTTCTGAGAGCGCTTACAGAATAAAATCTCAACCGCCACTTTTCTGCATCATAATTCCCCATTTGATTTCAATACATATTCATCAAAAAATAGGACGGAATGGTATTAAGTTTCAGTACGCATGGTGCATTCTTTTCTATGAATAAACCGGCTATTAATATAGGACGGATTGTAGATTTGTGTGCATTTTATTTAAGTACGATATGCGTTTTTAATTTAAAGACCTATAAATATGCACAAGTACTTATATGTATGTCAGATATATTTAATTAAATTTTAGTACGCCCCCATACTAAACTATTTTTAAGCGTGTAGTAAATATTACCTGCGATTAAGTACAATGAGATTCCCTATATATTTAGTTTAGAGTATTTTCCTTCCTGGCTGGTGGTCAAACATTTCTTTCACCACAAAATTTCTCGCGAGGAAGACTAATTAATGGACAATAACAATGAAACAGCAAGGGGTGAGGTACGATAATTTATTAGTGTAATAAGTTATAGATGTCTATATATGTATACGGTTGGTACATCTATTTACGTATTTGCGCCCGCTTGTTTTGTGGTTTAAATATACTTAATTATCATTTGCTTATATGTACACTAAATGAACAGAGTGTTGCGAATGATTTGTAATACCAACCTTGTCGAAACAAAGCAAAGCTTTTGCTAGATTTCCATTTCTGGAGAACATCAACCCTTCGTTGAGAAAAGTGGTGAAAGTTCTTGGTGGGACGGGGCAGCCTTTTCTCCTCTTCTTCTTAAACTCTGTTTTCTGCATGATTCTAGAATATTTCGGAAATATTTCCTATGCACTAAATAAATTATGTAAAGAATTACAAAATACGTAAGATTTTTTTACAATTTGTTAAAAAATTTATCTCCCGTTAACTTTTCGCAAATGAATAGCTAGTCGGAAGGACAAGAAAGGAAATGAAAAGAAAAGCAAAAGCTGCGGCATTTATATATAGACATCGGGAGACTCATGTCTTGTGTCGGTTTAAAAAAATTGGATCCATTTAATATCCATTTCGGAGGTGGGGCAGAGATGATGGAATTCTTAATCGATTGTCATAAATCGTTTACATTGAGTATAGCAATAGAGTAGCAATAATAGTCTGTCGTCAGCATATAGCCGTCGCCAGTCAGAGAGAAAAGCATACAGCAAGACATGACATAAGCGTCGTTGGTTTCATGCAAGATAAATAAGGATGAGTCGCCATCACATTTTCTTATTCAGCCCATGTATCATGCTGACGGCAGAGAATATAGTGTTGCCAGTTTTGCACGAGAGTCAGTAATTTGTTCTGATTGTCTGTCTATCAGCCCGAAACGGAATCGCATGACTTTGTGTAATCAAAACGCGACCGTCAAAACTGTCTCGCTTCGTTGATAATAATATATTAACAATCTATGCTATCATGCAAATCATGTTCTAGGTAAATATTTACAAAACGTTTACATATCCTAGTTATTACCAATGTTAAATACATCATCTTTTTGAGTGCATGAAAGGCAAAATTCTTAAGCAACTGTTATCCAATTTGCTGCAATGTTTTGAATGCAACCCCAACACTTTTACCATTACACATTTAGCAGACATTTAAGCCTAGCAGATCTTATGAGCAGATCGAAGACGTCCAATCATAGTATTTCGAACAATTAGACTTTCAGGACACCCTGATGTGTAGAAGAACGACTGGCACTTACAAAAATTAGAATTAAAATCAAAATTAAACGAATCTCTCCTTGTACTTTTTTGGCCAGAACTTGACCTCTATCCTTACATAATTCATAATATGTCATAATATTATTCCATTGAAAAAGTTTCCCTGAGATTCACAGATATAATATATGTACTTCAGACTTCATGGTGGTTTGGTGGTATTGCATTTGCATTGATTGCAGGAGTCAACAAAGACGATGAAAAATAAGCCAAGTTTTGTGGGGAAAGCGAAGCAAAATCTCATCCATTCCCGAATATGAACATGACAACACCTGGCAGCCAGCTACGAATTAATTCCCAATTGTAAATTGCATCTATTTTGTCAGAGATTTCTACAAAATAAATAGAATTATATATTTCAAACTCAAAATTCTTGTTTAAGTCAAAAGAATGGGAAGCCAGCCTCCACAAAAGCCTGGGCTGGTTGTTTTCGACCTTGGTAAGTCAAGACAATATGAAATATGATAAATGATTCAAATCATTCCAAATTTTGTTGTTTTGCTAGATTACACCCTTTGGCCATTTTGGGTAGACACACATGTCACTCCTCCATTCTTTCTTAAAGGGTATGAATGATATCTATATATTTATCTGATAAGTTGGTATAAATAAATTCTTGGGTTATTTTAGGCCGAACATTGTAGATTCTGATGGGCAAACAGTGAAACATTATCTCGAAGTTCCTCAAGTTTTGGAGTTTCTAAAAAATGAAGGCATTCCAATCGCCGCTGCGTCCCGAACTAGTGAAATTTCTGGTGCTAATCAACTCCTGGACCTTTTTGGATGGGACAAGTATTTCAACTATAAAGAAATTTATCCTGGATGTAAACTCCATCATTTCAAAGTGTACAATAATGATAATATATACAATTTACATTACATTAATTAGCTCAATGTTTTTATCCCCCGCAGAAAACATTAATTTTATTGATAATTGATTAACGAAACAATATATTATTGTAGATTTCAACGGGAAACAGGACTCCCATACACTTCTATGATATTCTTTGATGACGAAGAAAGAAATATTCGAGATCTCAGCAAAGTGGGGGTACACTGCGTATTTGTCAAGAAGGGGGTGGACATGAAATTAGTCAAAGATGCGTTACTCGAGTTCCCTAAAAAGTTCCATCCGCATACAAAATAATGATTGCCGACAATGCCGACTCTATAAAACACATTGCTTTTATAGTTTCTTTTAGCAATGTACAAAACTAAACGAAAATAGTTGCGACAAGCAAAATTTGCAAAATTTTATCATATATACATACATGATTTTTATAAGTAAAGCAAACAGTAGACTTGTACTACTTGTAAACGTCTTTATATAAATAACCCTTTATTTATTGGACCAATTACTTAAAGAGAAAATAGAAACAAATTATTAAACAGAAATACATATCTTGTTAAATTGACCAAATCCTTCCAACAGCCTTGTCGACAACTTTAGCCAACCGGTTTACAAGGTCATCGTTCTCCACATCCAATGGGTGAAAAGACACCAGACTATAATTTTCTATAACCTCTGCAATTGATACGTTCAAGGCGTGGTACTTTTTCATGCGCTCATCTTCTTCAAGTGAATTCACAATGTACGAAAGATCCAACACATCCGTGTAGTAATCCAAATTGAAGGGAAGTCTTCCATATTTTTCAGCCAGGTCAACTTTTGTTAATACATTGAGATGAGGAGTGCTGATATGAAGCATCGTAGTTAAACATGTTAAAAGGCACGAAATATATTTTCCTAGAATATTCAAGAGTTTTCAGTATTTAGATAATCAATCACACGGCTTCAGTCTATCATACTAGTTTGACTACTACTGTACCTGGATCAGAACAATAATGGGAATCCATTAAGTTTAAAGTGCAAAGAGTCATTTGTTTTTCCAGCTTTTTCACCATGCTTTTTACAGCCTCAACATGAGTATAAAGCTCAATCTAAATTAGATTTACAATTAGAAAGTTGTACCTTTATAAGAGAATTCGGTCTAGCTTCGAGACATTAATTAATTAAAACTAATTAATTGTATTTTCTTTAACTACTACCTGTCCAGGCATGTCGAAAAGAACCCAACAAGGCTGTTTGTAATCAGCTAGTTCAAATTCTTTTTTGATGGCATTTATCACACATTCCTCAAAGTTGTCATTGATAAATTGCATAGCATAAATTAGAGATGCGTTGGGTCCAAGATTCATTCTTTCCATTACGTCTTCCACAGTTACGAGTTGACTAACATCCAAGTCCACCTTGTACGGCAGTAAATCATTTCCAGGGTCGAGATTAACTCGCTTTACGTTAGACTTTCCATATTGTTGACATAAAAATTGGCCCATTCGGTTACAGTATGTGGTTTTCCCACTTCCCGGCGGACCTGTGACACAAAAGGCATGGTCTACAAAATGTTTTTTTTGCTGTTTCCATCATTCAAAACGTTTCAACTTTATAATTAATTACCAATAACAAGTTGTCCGTAAATCTTGAAGGGTCGATTAACCGACATCACAGTTGTTTCACTCATGTTGCTATATTTTCAGTATCTCACTGATTTACTAATCAATCAAGGGATCGCAAATTCGCTATCAGTGTCTCAGCTACTTCTTCCAACAATGATTTTTCAAATCTCTTCAACCCGAAGCCGAAAAGGATTGGGAGATCGGTGCACCTGCTCCCATGAATTGCGGCTCCTAAAACTCTGGTAGCAAGTAAGATTTCGGGTTTTTCGACGCCAAATAAAACTTTTATGTCATACACCACGTCTTGTTCCTTATTGTCCTCGCCACTAGGAACGTCAGGAGCAAACTCTTTACGGAATTCAACAAGTGTCCCTGCACTGCCGGCACTAACTTCGCTAACGATAATGAAGAAACGATTGGTGTAAGCATGAACCACAACACTGACCTTGCTAATTGGGGTCACGAATGCTCTTGTCTTAACTGGAAAGGCAGTAGTAGTGGAGTTACCGGTAGCAGACATGATACCACATGATATTTTTATTTCACAAAAAAACAAGCAGCTAATATGCAATAATTGCTGTTAGTACTCCTTACTCCCGAGTGCCTAGAATCATTTAGAGATTTCTCGAAATGCAATACTCAATTTGTTATTTAATTAAATAATTTTAACAAGAAGTCTTCAAATATTTGTCGTATTTTATTTTATCGAGATTGAGAAGAAATGAAATGTGATGAGAAATCAGCGGCTTGTAAAATCGATGACTACTATTGTCAACATGTTCTTGCCTTTTGTTCTGCGGTATGAAAATATTTAAATCATGTATAATTATACGAATGATGCTTCAGTAATTGTTTTATTGAAAAATATTAATTTTCATTTCACTCTTTTCCAGACTTATAAATGCTGATTTGATTATGTCAGGAAAAAGATAATATATGTCAAAAAGCGGACTGCATTTCATGAAACTTTGCCAACTTCTGAATACGTAAGCTCGGAAACCCCCGGATCTTCTGAATGTTGAAAAACATGTTTTGTTTTCGTACTATTTCTCGTAGTGTCAACTACTACGTTTTCTTTTGAATATTAATATAAACATATACTACGGCCACGACATCGCCTTATTATTATCTTGAATATTAGTATTTTTAATCAGCGATCGATTTTGGTGTTGATTTTATTTGTCTCATTTTCCTCGAAATGACATTTTCTCCAGAGTTGGGTCAATTAAAACTTGTTGTCTTCGATTTAGGTAACATAGATTTTATGCGATTATTGCATTAAATAAATGTAAAAATATTTCATTTTCCAGATTATACCTTATGGCCATACCATGTTGATTCAACTGTCAGTTTACCATTTCATGTGAAAAGGTATTCATGCATGCACAGAATTTTTAGAGTTTTCTGGCAGAGCGTCATTTTTCGTACCTTTTATAATTTCTACACAAACAGCTCACAAGTGTTGGACCAGACTGGTAAAGAAATAAAGCCATTTCCCGAAGTTCCCATCGTGCTGGACTATTTGGCAGAGCGTGGGGTGACCATTGCTGCAGCGTCGAGGACCACGAAACCCCCCGGCGCTCACCAGCTCCTCGACCTCTTCGATTGGAACAGATACTTTGCCCTCAAGGAGATCTATCCGGGATGCAAGACCACACATTTTAAAAGGCATTGAGTTTAATTGATCAGATTGTCACTTGACTTGACCAATCACAATTGTGTTGGAAATTCCAGGTTCAAGGACCAAACAATGGTGCCATACTCATCCATGCTGTTCTTTGACGATGAGGATCGAAATATACATGATGTAAGTAATTTAGGCGTGAAATGTGTACTTGTCCAGCATGGAATGAACATGAAATTGCTGCATGAAGCACTCAACCTCTTCAAAAATTAGTGGTCGTACTATTCTATATACAATTGTATAATATTCATATTCGTATTCTAAATTACTCAAATATGCAGAATAATAAAAAGTTGCTAGCAAATAAAGGGTGGAACATTTTTCATTCTTCAACGACGATATGCGGCTAATGAGTCAGAAACTAATTTGCTTCACTTCCCATATATGTATGAGTCTGAAGATTTACTGACATTTTTGATTTACGTACAAAAATCTATGTAACCGTACACTTTCTCAAGGCCAGCTCCGTACCTACGCATTTATCCGATAAGCTATGATATCAGGTCCAATACCAATGACTATGACTAATATTCGATTCGTATAGCTTTAATCAGATCTTAATCAATACAGGCAAAGAAATCATATCTTATGTATAATTGTAATCACCCCAACTACTGCTATAGTACATCTTTGAAAATGGTCTAATAGAGCTTCACACTGGAAGATGAATAGGTGTGTATATTGAAATTAAGTCTTTATTCCAACATTTGTACGCAACATACATATGCATTATTCCCTTCATTTCATTACGTACGTATAACTTTGGATAATCTTCCTTTTCCACAACATGGACATGGAGATGTTGCGTTGCATGGATTAAATTCAATGGATTTGCATTCTGGTCCATGTTTACGTGGATGGACACTACTCGACAATTATAATTAGTGAGTGAATAAGCGATACGCGCTGTAAATAAGAACGTCACGTAGTCACATATGTATGACGCATGATTCATTGAAAACCTGCCAAAAAAACTCGTCCTTTTAAACGCTTATTTGATACAGAAGCTTCGCAACGCAATGCGCAATGCCTAACCCTACATCGTTTTGCACTGTTTTTGCAACAACATGTGCAAAGATTTTGTGATCAAGCTATCATCACTCTGAATGGGAATGAAACCATTATTTAGCATTCATTAGTTAAAATTCTGTACGTAGATCCTTGCAAAAAATAACATTGCTAAATCTGCACAAAATAAAATGAGTGAAGTGCATGGATGATCCGATGGAAGGTCCTCCTCCTCCAACGTCGCTCTCTCTCATCTCTCCACCAACCAGCCTCGTCAGTGTTCCGTTATGACGACAAGAGAATAGAGTATGTGCTTTGCTCCCAATTTCCACGAAATAATTAAGTTACCACCGTCCCAACTCTAAATTTCAAAATTTCATTCATCCGTCGTTTGATTTTCGCCTCGTTTTCCTTCAAATTTTGGTAAGTTCTTTGCCACATTTCCTCGATTTCGAACCACTTTCTAAACACAAAATATCCGTTGTTATTATTTTGCGACGGTTTTTCTTGTTGCGTCGAGTGGATGAGAGACGTGATCTCGTTGCTTCTCGGGCTACGACGCCACCTCCCATTCGCCCCAGGCACCCAATACCTCGTCGCCTTACACTCTTTGTTTTTATTCGAGTTGATATAGATTGAAGAAATAGATTGAATTTTATGCCAAACAAAAATTTGGCAAATTATCTCAAATTATTATTATTTATTATATCAGAGCCTCAGATAATTAATTCTTGGGGAATCTGTTTAAGAGGTTAACCATCAAGGCACTTAAGAGAAGCGATAGCCCTATATAAATATAACTGCCTTGATTAATAAAAACAGACATTCATAAAATGTAAATATATTTCAAATTATTTAGCTATTATGGAGTCTGATTATTGGTACAAATTAATATTAATTTGATACTGTTGTATTGTTGCATTCTTCTATTGTAATTAATTGGTATTGTTCTTTTTGTATTTTAGAAGTCAAAATTTCCCCTATTGATACTACCTAAATCCGACTCGAATTAATTCTTTTTAATGCAAAAAGATGGGACCGGGATCAGAAAAAACGGTATTTACCCAACCTCAAAATTTTCCATTCATAAAGAAGAGCGGCAAGACGAAGAACAATCTGGGAAAGAATTCCAACTACAAGAAGGGATCTTGCATCTCTCACGATGAGTTTAAGGGTAGTAGTGGCAGCAGTAGTGGATCCGTTTCTGCGGATGAGACTGGAAAATCAAGTCATTCCCAATCTGTTAGAAGAAAGTCTGGCAAGGACCAGACTTCAAATCAAAATTTTACCTCGTCCTATCCCCAGTATCACGCCAAGTCGAAACCAATAGCAGTCAAAAGGTCCATTAGTCATAATGAAGTCGGAGGAGGATATACAAAGCCCCAAAGTCTTCCTCTTCCAGGTGGCAAACAACAACACCGGTCATTAGCAAGAAACTCGCCTGTGAAAGGAGCGACCATATCGATGTCAACTACCACCCCTCCTCTTCCTGTACGTCCGAGCTCAATGACGCCACCAATCACGACAACTCTTCAACAATCCCTGATTTCGACATCACCATCTCCAAAAGGGATTTTGGGAAAGACTTTTTATGCCGGGGCCAAGTTTGAAACGAATCCTTCGTGCATGGTCTTGCCTTCTCCTCCAAACCATTGGACCGCTCCTTGTCCCATACAACGATCTCAATCGCAACCCTCCACCCCAACTATTAAGTCTGCACCCAACGTTACTCAGTTTACTTCGATTAATCTGACGTCTCTCTTTGGATCTCCACTCGACGTGACAGCTACTGAAACAGCCAAGCAGTCGTCGACTACAGCGGCAAAGTCATTCCCTGGCAAAGTTGTGATGATACAAGCATTAGTAAAAAACCAAGCGGAATCGGATCTTTCTAGTGATGAAGAGTTGAAGGAAATCTTGAATGAAGGGACCAAGATGAAGAAGGCAGAATTAGACAAAAAGGAAGCATCATTGGTCTCTACTACGACTACAGTCTTACAGGCTAGTCCTCAGACTAAGAAAATTGTGAATTCTGAAGATTTAAAAAAGGCACTTGGAATGATTTCGTCGAATTCTTCAACTCCTGTCAACCCAAAAATGGAGCGCAGCTTGGACCTTACTTGCCACGGATCTGTAACGCCACTGAAAAATTTCAAGAAGATGTCGGATCAATTGAAGTCTCTCATGAAGGTAGCGGCCTAACTTATATGTTGACTACTCTCATCACTTCTCCTCATCCTACTGTACCAATGATGATACTCGGTTTTTCGATACGGACAAGATAGTTTTTTTTTGGTTTTTAACCATTATATACCCTTTCGGATTGATTATTGACGCACGCACAAAGAGGGATAAGATAAGAGGGATTCTACAAGATGACATCAGTAAGCAAGCAGTATGTGTATTACAAATTCGCGATGACACTTATTGCCAATGAAATTGACTAATGAAATGCTAGTGGGGAGACGGAACACTTGCCATGAATTTCATTAGCTCAAGTTTTTTGATGCATGTAGGAGAAGACGACTAAGTATAAAGTTACGGTTAATGTTACACACAAATAGTTTTAATTAGTTTATAAGTAGCTTAAAGTTAGATTAACAAAAGTCAGTGATATAACAAGGTGACTTTTATATAATTTTTCGACTGCAATATACATATATTATATAGGTAGATTTACTTTTAGTTAACCATTTAAAAAATGACATACACGCTAAACTTTTCTCTTATGAGTTGTTCCATTGCTCTATTTTTTTTTGTTTCTCAAGCACCTCTAGGTGCAAAATCTAATCTAATATATATTTCCCATTTCTCGGTCTTTCCCCTTATCGAAATTCTTGGTAATAGCAATAATAGTAAGTAAGCGTCCTCTCTTATCATCTCCTTGGTTGACATTTTAATCAAACAGTTTTAGATTGGCAAAAATCCAAAATTAGTTATTTGTATTCTATAAACAAATTTATCAAACAAACTCGACTGTTTTGCTTAGATTATTGTTTTTATTTCCGAAATGACGACAATTATCAACAAGCAGAATTTTAGTTTTTGCAGTCCTATCCCACCCACTTTGAGCTGCTTGAAACTCTCCGACCAATAGTTTTAATTAATTTTAGTGGCAATCTTTATCATATAATGCAAAGAACAATATATCACTATTATTATAATTATAGGAAAATAATGTTTAGTCTTCGTGCAACGAAACGTCCGCACAAAGTAGTAGTACGATATTGATCGCAAAGTATTGGAAAGTCAAAAGTGCTTAAATATGGAATGAGTATGAGTTGAACAGTTTGTGATTGAAAATATTTATCGTGACTTATATTATTGCATCAAATGCCAGCAGGGAGGTGCAACAAGTGTCCCTTTAAAGCTTTAAAGCCAACAATTTTAATGAATGAAAAAGGGTAAAATAAGAAACATAAGGTCGGCGTGGGCGATAATTAGTTAAATTAAACGTTGCAATTTTTAGAGTATATTAGTTATATTATTATGTAGTTAATATTATGAAACGGTGACTATCATGTTGGATGTCGTATGTAGGAAATGAGGGATCTTAAAAAACAGGCAATATATTATTTATTGGTTGATTAATTAATTAGTGAAAGCTCTTCTAATGAGAAATGAAAATTTGGAAATTTCCAAATTCTCAAAGAACTACCATGAAAATTGAAATGAAGTTTGAAATCACAGTCTGGAAAGTCTGAGAGAGATTGATGGAAAACTCCTTAGTAGCCAAACGAGAGAAAGTGTTAAAATTCTCAGTAAAACTACTTATTATATTACTTTCTAGTCGTCGACCTGTTTCGTGTTTCCTCTCACACAGTGCTTTTACTTGTTGAGGGAAGGCTCGGATCTCTTTATCAATAGGTATACTTTTCACTGAAGTTTTAATAATTTGGTTGTATCATATTATGGTAGCAAACAGGGATAATTTACATGTGATTTAGGACAGAACTGACAAGATTGATTGAGAAAGTAATGGTTTGCTGTGTTTGCAGAAACCTTTAATCATTAACCGTGCTTATTACAATAATAATTTAGTTAACGTCACGTCAGACTTATATACGCGTAATAAGTTTGTTCAAGGCATTAACTCAACCCACCCACCCAATAATAATCGTCACTCGTACGCTACTATTATTAGACCTACCAAATAATCTTTTGTCAGCTCCCTTTCTTTCTCATTGTTGCTCGATGTAAACTCACGAAATTATTAATACGGCAATCATAAATTTCAAATCTTGAACTCAACTCGTACATTATTAGCTGAAGGTCAACTCAACAAAAAGTCCACCCAATTCATAGTCAGAACGATAATCTGCTGTGCCCAGAAGGAAAAATTATTTTATAGGTTGCCATTTTGCCAAGTATCGAAAACTAATAATAAGCCAAGTTTTTTAAGAGGTTACGATAATACAGTTACTGCAATGATAATTTACAATTTACAATTCAAGTAACCAAAGCCAAAGTCAAATGCGTTTCTCTCTCTAAAGGTCGGATTTTATATCTAATTTAATTCCATATAATTACGGTTTTAAGACAAACGTTAAGTTGGAGTCAGTGAGTTTAGTTGAGATGTAATCTCGTGAAAGCGAAATGCAATTATCCGATTTATTATAAGAAACCTTCCTTCTCCGGTGGTTATATTGAGACGTACAAATTAAACATTAATGGACCAGGAGATAACCTTCAGTATTTTTTATTTTAAACAAAACGCGACATTCGTGTCTTCACTTTGATTATCACAACAATGATGAGTTCAGTTAGTATAGTTTCCAAACGACGCTGTTTACATCTAGTTTTATATAAGTTTTACCCAAACGTTATGGTTAACGAGAGAATGGTACAAACAAACTTAATTTTTTTACACCCCACCTCACCCCACCCCAACCACATATACACTCACCGGAGAAGGTCGGCTTTGATTTATAGGTTGTTTTGTTCGAGGACAAGGGTTATTTTGTACAATTGGCAGTACTAATATTACTGCCAAACAGGCTAATGCTGAGACTGAGAATTATTATACATGAGTAGGTCAATACTCAATCTCATCAATCGATATTGCACTTACCAGCCTTGTACAAAGTACCTCTGATCATGTTTTTTGTACTGTGACTATACTTGGCTGGAATGAAAAGAGGGAGGGCAATTAATTTGTCCAAAGGAAATTGCATTTAAAATGAAACTAAAAAGTAACTGAGGGAGGGACAGTGCGAGTAAGCTTAGAAGGTCATAAGGTAGCTAATGTAGATTAATTAATACAAAACGCAACAATATTTTTCCTAATGAAAAATTTGGCTCACAATATACTTATCACTATTCAAATATTATTCAAACCAACTTGTGCAAAACTTGAACTATAAATATATAGCTATTAGATTTTATTAAGTTTAATTTAAAACAACATTTTATACAAAAAGCAGGGAAATATGCAGATTACTCAGAGAAAAATTTTTCAAGTGTTTCCAATGTTATAGCTGCCACAAGACTGCCACACCGTGTACCTGTTTCTGGGTATTCTGTGTGAAACTAATGAATGGCAACGTATATAAAATTGGCGTTTTCAGTACAGAAATGTTTCAGATAAAACAAAAACATATCTTTTATCGAACCCACTTTTTAAGTAGGGAAAAAGATATGTTTTTGAGCAATTGTATTCACTCCGAAGTACAAAATATTTCCCTGCTCAACAATTTTTAGTCTTTCATTATGTGAATTGCAATAATGCTTGCGTAAAAAGGTTAATGCCCGTTAATAACCATTTTACGGATGCATTTTTTTGCCACTTTATATTACTAAAAGAGTGAATGTCGTCGGGGTGAAGTTGACGAGGTACGCAGTATGTAAAATATGTAACTCTGAAGGGGATATGGGCTACGAGATCTCATTCATATAGGATCGGCCTTAACCCAAGGATTACATAATGAATGAATGTGATTAAAGGGTGTGTGTCAAAGTGCAAGACTGAAAATCATAATTTGAAGATGACAGGAAGGATGGCTTTAGATATACTCGTATGCATATGCGATTCTTGTGATTGTACAATTATGTATGTACAAGAGCCCAGTGAAAGTTGTTGCTGTTTCGAGAAACCAACAAATTCTCAGGTCTGTCTGATCTTTAAAGGTCCTTTGATTTTCATTTTTACTATTACAAACATTATTGTTATTTTCTTCTTCGGTCTTATCACCCTTTTCCAGTCTACTTCTATGTTGTACTAACTAGTGATATTGTTATCTTATTTAATTATAAAAACACATTAAAAAGTTCCAAAAAATTCCCTTTAATTTTAGCTCATATACGTACTATATTATTATTAGTGGTATTATTATTAATACAAGTTTTCTCATCTTGTGATTTGTTTTCCATACATCGTATAAATTTATTTTGTCTCTGCTCTTATGTTTATTTTATGCCAAATATCTGCGAATTTATCTACGCGTCTAATATATATGTTCTCCCCGGCAATACGGTCCATATCATTTCAATGTGAAATCCAGAACAATTGGTATTAGTAGACTGATACAAAAAAAATACATATATATTCCTATTCGAGTCAACTTGAAATCTCATTTTGTTAGTTTTAAGAGTGCATATTATTATATTTATTGACCTGAATTTGTTATTTATATTGGCAATCTGACAAAATCAATTTGTAATTTATATATTATTCAACCAATTTTAATCATCCAACCAATAAGTGTTTTGTACGCTTATGGTTTAAAAATTGTCATTTTAACTAAAGTCAGGTATTCTCATCTGAAAACTCGACTGATTATTGTATCCGGTGGTTCTTGAAATGTTAAAGTTTAAATTGTTTTCCAAAATTGGCATCAAAATTAATAAATTGTTTCCCAATTGGCTTCCAAACTTCTTCTCCATCTTTGTCATTTTTTATCACGTTCATTCCTCATTAATATTCATGAAAACTTGCACATTTAAATGATTAGTAGAGTGGTACACAGTGTAGCCTTACATATCTAATGCAATTTATTATTCATTGATTTTTTAGACAATTAACTTCTAAATAATATTTAACACAACTTTAACAACAAATAGTAAAGTAATTACTTTACAGGATTTTCTGAAAATACGTACTACTAAAGGGAGGGCAGCCTGGTGGATACGAATTTGGCCTTGAATAACCCCGGAACGGTTTGTCGTAGCGGGTCAAAATTTTGAACAGACGAGCATGTTATCCTCAGATAGTTGTGTGTAAAATTTCAGCCCTCTACTTTCAAAAATGCCTCCCGTACAGCCCCCAGAAGTTGAGACACTCATTTCAATTTTTTCCAAACTCCGTCTAAAAAATTCGGTCTCCGCAGAAAGAATTTCTTTTTAAGTATCCGAACCCAAAGAAGTCTATTTGACTTATATCAGGGGATTGTATAGGTATTTCACTATTCGAAATGATTTTTATCCCCAATCTAGGTTCAAGGTCATTTGCATAATCTTGGGTCAACTTTATCGTCTGGGAAGACGCTGCGTCACGATAAAAATTACCTTATTTATTTTTTTACCGTGCTATTTAGGAAAATGTTACTCTAAAAGTGGTTTCGAGACACGGTCAGCATATTGCTTTGCAGATTTCTTCACTTTTTGGGGGACTTTGATACGTGGGAGGACACCACGATCGGACATTGCACCCACAACTTAAAACTGTTTACAAAAGTTCTCCTCACGGGAAAACACCAAATTTCGTGAATTTTTTTTCGGCATTTGTCGTGTAGTAAGCTCTTCGAGCTCAATTAGTAACTTGTAGAGAAAATAGTGCTTCGTCAAATGTGACAAATAACTCACTCCTATTCCTCAACAGAAAATTTAAATAAAATTTTTTGTAAGCACGAGCCAGATTTTTTCTGGAACTATTTGAAATGACTATCTCAGCTTCTGGGGGCTGTGGGGCAGGCATTTTTCAAAGTAGAGGGCTGAAATTTTGCACACAACTATCTGAGGATAACATGCTCGTCTGTTCAAAATTTTGACCCGCTACGACAAACCGTTCCGGGGTTATTCAAGGTCAAATTCGTATCCACCAGGCCGCCCTCCCTTTGGTATTTTGTATGTAACAATCAGAGATTTTAAAGCTATTCAAAGTTTGCGATTGTTTCAACTAAATCTAATACAACATCGGCATAAAATAAATCAGTTGCGACCCCCTCATAACTTTGTTTCGTTTCCAAACCTAGTTCACCAAGGATAAATTTTGCTTCGTCTATTGCAGAGCCTCTCTCAATTTCTTCAACAATCTGCAATGGAAGGAAAATCAATTTAAAATATTTTTACGCATGACATAAGGAAAGTATATAAACTGGTAATAAAACATTGCAAGTTAATAGGTTCACCTGTCTGAAGTCAGTATTGAAATTAATCTGCTTGTTACGCAATGCATCGAAAACTCCAGGATGTTTCCGTTGATGCAACACTGCTGGCAAGGTCGTGAGGACGGATGTGGGTACGGACGAAAATTCGCGTGCATTTTCGAGCATCTCAATATCTGCAACACCTTTCAACAACACGGCAAGATTGGAAGAAAATCTGCTCATGGCCTTCATGATCTTGTCGTCCTTGGGAAGACCATCGCAGTTTAAAACTAACGCGGCGTACAACCCACCAGTGAAATATCCCGATATCTTTCGATTATACCGAATCCAATCATCCAAAGTGACATTTTTGTGAGGTAGATGAGGGTAAATTATTTTTGGATCCAGAAACTTTACAGCAAAATTGGCCGTGGTGAACTGCTCGAGTCCTTTTGTGATGGCGATGAAGGCTTTGGAATTTTTTGCTTTCTCCAGAAAGTAGATGCATCGGATTGCAAAGTAGTCTCCAACAAGGGCAGCATATTTATTTCCCAGGGAGTACTGGGTAAGTATATTTGAATGGTTGTAGTCCTCGGGAATGTCAACCACGGTTTGATGAATCTCGGATGAAAACATGCCACTATCCGATCCTCGTGAAATAAAGTTTAAATTTTCTTCGTATTTCGGGTTTGTACTCGTTCTGATTCCTCTCCCGAAAAGTATCAGCCAATCATAATAGCCCAAGCTCTGTTTGGAGCTATTATAAATTTCTCTGCAAAAATTAAAACAAGAATTATGAATATTAACGACATTATAGTTTTAGCGCTATTTATTTACAATAAGGTTGACAGGTTTAAAAGTTACATAAATTTTATATATTATCGATATGAACATGGGAATCCATTTCGAAAACATCTTGCAAGCAAACATCTAGGGGCACCCAACCTAACAATTCAGCTACTTAATACTATAGTCGCCCAACACTACTTTGTTCTTCGTAATGTGCCATTGTAGTTTTCGTTTGTGATGCTGGTATTGAAATTTGAAAGTGTTTCTAGGCCAGTGGCACATGAACATTAGTACCAATGCATGCAGGCTATGTATTTTATCATTTTCTTTATTAATAGCCAAGAAGAGACAGATGCTAATTTCAACCAATACATTCTCAACGTTTATCACCACAGTTCATCGCACCTCTCTGTGTCTTATCATTATAGTCATTAGACGGTCTCATTAAATAGAATTAAAGTAACCAAAGAAAAGCATGGCACCACAAAATAATGACATGTACATTCAAGAAGATAGACAGTATCTCCTCCTGCACGTATACGTAAAAAGGATGTACGTGTATACATATGATTGTATGTGACCGATATTTCGGATTTTTTACATCGATCTCGCCGTCCTAATACTGCTTGGCTGACTGACCGACTACTTCGAGAATGTTACGGGACTTTGCCGTCGAGATTATTATGGATGAAATCCCTTTATAAGATCGCCATGTCCGTCTGTCCGTCTGTTGGTCTGATAACTCATGAACGAAACGGCATACAAATTTGGAGCTTGAAACTTAACTTACTTAGGTCAATGGACAGACCTGATTTAAAAAAATGGGCGATGCCGATTACAAGGTAGCAGCTCCAGATCATGATTTTCTTTAATTAGAACATTATGTGAGGACTCGATAGTATTTTTAATGAATTTTTAATGAGAGTATTTTTAGTGATCCGGTGATCGATGGAGGATGTCAACAGTCCAAAGCGTAAAAAACACTCAGACGTGTCAATTTGAACAGCTTTTTGAGTCTGAATACGAATTTTATACCCATTTTGACGTGCGTCACTCCGGTAATCGTGTGGACGACGTCAAATTTCAAAGCCGAAAACAGTTGGGGCGTGTCAATTTTAATTGATTTTCAATGCTGAATGCGAATATGATACCCGTTTTGACGTATGTACGATACACTGATTTCACCCCGTAGTTACATGCGTTGTAACGGTTTATTGATATTACACGCATCACATACCATATATAATATGTGCATATAGAGAAAATGAAAACTCATTCATATGACAGCGAGGAAAATGAAGCTTTCAAAAGTGAAGGGATGTTTTTATAAAAATTTGTTCATATTTGAAAGTAGAAGTTGGTATATAGCGAAGAGAATTAAGGGCCGCCTTTGGAACCGTATTTCATTTCCTTCATTTAGTGATTTGAAGGAATTAGGGAACTTTGCAAGACTGAAAATGAAGGAGAAAATTCCACATGTCGCAGATTTGAAGATGCACCCTCAAAATATCTATAATTGCGCTTTTCATCATCAAAAAATTTCACAACGTGGTATTTATACTACATATTACACTTGTCATGCAATGCATGGTCACAATTGACGATTCTTTTACGCTGTTACAGCTTACCGTTCAAGCGTGTATCGCACAGGGTGGTTTGATTGCAAAATTATCTGAGTTTTGTCGCCGAGATCCAGTCCAGGCATATCTCTTTCACTTCCGGTCGACTCTGTTACTCGTCCAACAAGGTGCTCAACGTGGGACGTGATTTTGGGTAAACCATCTCGATGTCTGACTTTACTCAAGATTTCTTCAATCTTTTCATGTTTCCCAATCTCCAGCTTTTTCACTTGAGCTCTCCCAATCCCACTGTCAAGTCTTACAGATGCCAGAGACGCTACCACCAACGAGGGTGCTGGAGCTGACGCTGTTATCTTGGACGCAGACTTGGCAATGTTCTTGCCGAAACTTCCCCACATTTTGAAGAATGTTCTTCTGGAACTGGTGATGTGATTCACTTGTCAAATACACTAAGCACGTCATGAAGCAGAATATAACAATCAACCACGTTTTTTTTAAATTTATGTACAGATATTTATGTATTTGTCAGTATAATCCGTATGTGCGTGTCTATTACTATTTTTTTTACTGCTACTACATGAATTCAATTGCAATCTCACATTATCTTCGACTGAGAGGCGTTTGTAGAAAAGAAAGACTTTTTAGACTGTGGTTAACCAACCAACCCAGTCTTAATACTCACCAACCAACAAGCTTAGCCTACCTTTTCTTATCATTATTTAAGTCATACTACCAGAAATATTAAATCAAGGTAGTGGTCGGTCCTACGCAATGCTGCTCCCCTATTAACTTCAAGTTAGCGATGCATATAAGTGCCAGACTGCGAGCCTGCATCGACGTCAAAGAGTTATTGTCATGTTTAATGCTGAAGAATAAAACATTGCTTTAAGCAATGTTTTATTCTAATAGATGAGGATGAAGTTTTGTTGCTATTTATAACTAGTTATGAGGAGTATAAGTTATACGAGTCAGTTAATAGTGACATTAAATATATACTAAATATAGTTTAGTTATAGTTTTGTTGTTAAATTAAAGAATTTCGGACAACATATTTAAATCCAGGTTCATTTTACAAGTCACTTTCTTGAACGATTAACATCTGTATTTATGTATAACTTTACAACTTTATGGTCTTCGTACGTTTTCGGCCATTTCGACTATTATTTGGTATGTGCATGGAGGCATTGTCAGTATTCAGTTAATTTCGAGCTGTGGAGGATATCGAGAATATATATTTATCAAGGTCAATCTGGTACGAACTAAGGCTATCTATATAAAAATGTTGAGTAATTTTAACTGCGTACTTCGCTCAGTTTATCGTTGTCCATGTTAGTTTTTACTTTTTAGGTTTATGTAGATGCTTGACAAAGTCCATTAAAATGGAATTTTGGTCGGCTTAGCATAATACGTACATATGCACATGTACACATAAACAAGTACATAAATACAATTTGAAATGAACATCATAATTTCATGCTCCACGCTTCAAAAATTCTTAAAGAAATTGAAAATGTTATGCTTTCTAGATTTAAGCATAACGAAAGCAGCACCCTCTTTTTATTATTGCTACTTCATCCAACTAACCACATAAGTAGATTATCAATTCATATACATACATGAATCAACAAGTTTGAAACACCGCAAGATTACTTATAACAAGCACTAACTACTACCTAAATAATACTCGAAACACTGAATACAAGAATGTAGATCTCGAAAACCTCTAATTTACCTTATACTAAATTGCATTTCTTATTAATTGATAACTATACTGTACAGTTTATAATATGAGTAGTAATTAATTACTTGTGTTATAAATAACTTTGAAATGGATGCGCATGCAAATTAAAATTTTTTACACTGTTTATAAATAAGTTTTAAAAATATCTGAAACCTCTGTGTATTTAGTAAGTATGTCCAATGTACATATGAAACTTTACAGTTTACATGTTACATAAATGCGGTTGTGATGTGTGTAATGCATTGTCCCACATAATCACGGCACAGCACAAAGGATCAGTACATACTATGCATGCATATGATCATGTGGGACAATTACAAAAGAACTGCATATTGGTTCTCCCTTTATTAACTTACAATCCATTTGGTTTGCTTATGGACATTACATTAGAAACAAAACCAGTTTTTCCTCACCGGCAAAAAACGATCGATACGTACGTCATATTGTGGACGAAACAGCCGAATTCTCCATCAATTCTGTAACCACACAGTTGTATAAAGTTAGTTTGAAGACAAAAATTGCCAACAGTAAAAGTTGAATATTTAATTAGCGAGTTACAATTTAGGGTAAATTGTCTTAACCTTTACTACATCATCCAGAAACAATGAGTTTCAGTTCCAGGGGAGTTAAGCAAGTTCTGTTGTCTGTGGAACAATCCGAAGGGGTTGGTGCAAAGGTGCGAAGGAGCATCGGGCGACAAGAACTTCGCAATTTTGACCCATTTCTTATGTTGGATGAATTCAGAGCGGGACGTCCGGCAGGATTTCCAGACCATCCTCACCGTGGTTTCGAAACGGTCACCTACATCCTTCCCACGAGCAAAGGTTCTTTTGAGCACGAGGACTTTTGCGGGCACCGAGGTACGATTGGACCTGGAGATTTGCAGTGGATGACTGCAGGACGTGGGATTCTTCATTCGGAAATGCCACTAAGTGATGAGGTATGTATGTAGACTACGTAATTTAGGTAGCTAATTTTAATGTCCGCAAATACTAATAATGCACAAGGAATAAATGTTGATACAATAACTAAAATATGCAGATATCTCATGGCCTTCAACTGTGGATAAATCTCTCTGCCAAAGATAAAATGTGTCCCCCAGAATATCAAGAGCTGAGAAGCGAAGATGTTCCAAAAATCACAAAGGACGGAGTGACTGCTATAATCATTGCGGGAGAATCTCTAGGAACGGTTTCGAAAATTTACACAAGAACTCCGACTAATTATATTCACTTCATCATGGAACCCAATTCAAGGATCGAACAAAGGGTTCCCTCGGAATGGGCTGCTTTCGCTTACACCGTGGAAGGGAAAGTAAAGTTTAGTGCTGGGAATTTTATCGATGCCCATAGCACAGTGACCTTCAATCCAGGGGGTGATGGAATTATCGCAGAGACGGGGGATGAGCCTGGTAATTTTGTATTAATTTCTGGTAAGCCCATTGGTGAGCCAGTGGTACAACATGGTCCGTTTGTAATGTCAACGCAAAAAGAAATCATTGAAGCAATTAATGACTACTCCCAAGCTAAAAATGGATTCGAAAATGCACAAACTTGGGAATCTGAAATTGCAAAAAAATTAAATCAAGGTTGAGGTACAGATGAGGTTGAGTATGAGATACATACGTAGATTTATTGTTGTTGCTAATCTTTGCTTTGAATTGTCAATTTAAGAAAATAAAACTTTTAATCTGCCTTTACACGTATTATATACTTGTCATAATTAGTCAATCAATCCTATTTTCATTTATCATGGTTAGCGCAATATTTTTAAGAAAATATCCGAATTATTTAGACATAAACTATTATGATGACGGCTGAGTTCATGTACATATTTTCATCTTAACTTATGTATTAGTTCTTGTATTCTTCATTTAAAACTCGACCAATGACCAAACGTCTAACTTCCGAAGTTCCAGCTGAAAAGAAGAACAACATCACGATGATTAGCAGATTATAATCAGGACCAGATTAAAATCAATAACTTTGACTATATATGCCTACTGTTAGAATTATTTTGATACATAATTCTATTAACTGACCTCCGATTTCATAGAGTTTGGCATCCCTTAAGAATCTTCCTGTAGGATATTCATTGATGTACCCATTTCCACCTGTAGACAAAATTGTAATCGTTTATAATGGTTATAAATCGTTAATCCTTAATAAGTTCTGACCTAAACATTGAATTGATTCTAAAGCGACTTGCGTCGCATTTTCTGCTGTGTAGAGGATGACGGCAGCACAATCCTACAGGGATAGATCAATTTGCATCATTATTAGTACTGCGACTTTGTTCTGGGTCGAACGAGTTTTCGATTCTTTATCAATTTTTAGTGCACCTTTCGATTAACATGGCCCTTGTCGGCGGCACGTGCAACGTTATAAAGATAACTCCTGAAACACATTTATCCGATCAATTAGTTGCCGTACATAAAGTATTTGATCGATTTTCAGAGAATTTTTACCCCTACCCCCTGGTGTGTGTGACCTACATGCCTCATGTCATAATTATTATGGGAAGGACATAATAGCTTGACCTCTACCCCCCTCAAATCGATCAAATTCTTTTTGCATTGTCCCTTAGATAACATTGCTGAATATATTTCCATGTGGTACAGGAAAAAATGTAAAGGTGTATATATGGTTCAGCGGTATTTAGATTAGTATTATTACTTATTAATTACAAATAGTAATCCTTTAATTGTAATTGGATTAATCCAGCTCTTGTATCTATTTCAATTCCTGGATCTTTCCCGAATTCAAGTTCAATGCCAATTTTCCATTACGTAAATTAGTTATTTTTACCCATCTAAATACTACTCAACCACTTATTATACCAACCTTAAATTCTCTACATACCTGGAAGCACTTAATTTAGTATACATATCTGCGATTTTGCCCTGTGCCGAAAAGAACATGTATCATAAAGACTGAGTGTATCATTAAATTAAAAAGTTAAATTATTTATATCGTTATAATACCTGCATAAGTTGGAATTCTCCTATTTTGGTGTTAAACTGCTTACGATAATGGACATAATCGAAAGCTACATCGCAGCTAGCTTGCATGAGGCTGTATTAATGACAAATATGTGGACATTGGAATCGAATTGCAATACCTATGTTTAATATTAATCCCTTACCCAACAGGTCCACCAGAAAGTACCAACCTATAATATTGCATAGTACATTATTACTACAAAATATTGCGATTATTAACCTTTGAAGTCGACAAGAGCAATTGTTACCTCTCAAGATCGAGTCCAGAGAATAAAACATAAATACCTCTGTTGACCGGGCCCAAGACGTTGCTGGCTATACACAATAATTTACAATTATAGACCTCAATGCAGCATTAAAGTGCTTAATTTTTGAAAAGCTAAATAATATGTAGACCTGGTACTTTGTAGTCTTCAAATATCAATTCTCCGGTATTTGAACCTGTATTAGATTGAATTTAGACGAAAATTCCAGAGTAATAGTTTGCATAAATTACCTCTCATGCCCAATTTGTCTAACTTTTTTCCCACTTTGAAACCGGGTTTGTCAGTTTCAACAATGAATGCTAAATACAAGACACCGAAAAAATTGTTTATTTGATTGCACTTATTATAAGATATGTTATTAGAGTGGAGATCTGTTACCTGTTACACCGTGCGCTGCTTTAGATGCACTAGGGTCTGTTTTCGCGTATACCTTTAAAGAGTTAAAAGTATGAAAATATAATTTTTTATTGCAAAGGTCATTAATTAGCTCAGTTTATATTGCAAAATTTTTCGTACCACAATGATATCTGCATCGGGACCATTTGTAATCCAGAACTAACAATATTATAGCATTACAAACTATTATTAGTAATTACTAGTTGTATTGAAGCTCACCTTTGTGCCATTCAGGACATAGTTGTCTCCTGGAACAAAATACCTTCAAGTTAGCAAGTACTTTATATATTTAAAAAACATGAAGTTGATGAAGATCCAGTCCCGGAATTATAGAATTTGTCAATAAAATTGTCAAATGAGAAATGAGTCGCTTATGGTTGATTAGTTAACTGCATTTTGAGTTCGGGTTGGAGGTTGGTCATATATTTTCAACCCACATGGTCGTCGACTTATTCATCAACTCATGCATGATGATTTAGATTTAAATAGACTTTTCTTGTAGATCATTGCATTCAAGTGTTGCAACTTCCTGAATAACTAACTAAATAAAAGTTTAATTTACCATCACGAGTGGCCTTAATCTTCATGCCGACAACGTCAGACCCAGCGTTGGCTTCGGACATTGCTAATGCACCAATATGTTCCCCTGAGCAAAGCTATTGGCCAAAATAAATTCAAAATCCGGTACATGAATTATTTGCTAATACTAATTTTAATTCATGAATAGAATCGCCTGTATTTTTAATAGCCCTTAAAATCACCTTGGGCAAGTACTTTTTCTTTTGTTCTTCTGTCCCATTCCGATGAATCTGATTAACACAGAGGTTGGAGTGTGCCCCATAGGAAAGAGCAATCGCCCCCGACGACCTGGAACACTCCTCCACTGAAATAAATTTATCATATACTTTATTATATGCTATAATTATTCTTAAAATGCAAGTAAAAATTCTGGATTACTTATCAAACAGTGGTCAAAGTAACCCCCTTCAGTCCCACCATACTCCGACTTGACCGTAATCCCCAAAAATCCCATATCTCCCAACCTCCTCCAAAATTTCCGAATATCCTTAAAAGTATTTGAACGGTCAATCTCATCGGCCAAAGGGGTCAACTCTTTTTGAAAAAAGTTAAAGGCTGTCTCTCTCAACTATTACAGCAAAATAACAATTTTGCATTGCATTTACACAAATTGAGATTAATGTCATAATAATATACTTCGTATTGAAACATTGCAAATTTAATTAGCTGTGTTGGCTGACCTGTTTTTGATCGTCTGTTAATCCAAAAATGATATCATCTATTGGATAAGTACTTGCCGACCTTGTTCCCCCAGTCACCGAAAGTCCAACCTGATTTTTATGTGCACAAACTATGGATTTGCACACCTTGCTTTTGACTGATACGGGGGAGGTCAGAAATAAGTTTCGAAAAAATGCCATGATTATAATCTGACAAATTCAACCTTGGAGAGTAGGGAGAAAGTTATTATTTTAAAGAAGTAAAGCCGTCGTAAAGAGTCAGTTGATTGTGCACTGGAGAAAGCAGCAGCAACAACGTGACTTATTTCCGAGTTTTGTGCTTGCGTATAAATCTCAAAATTCTCAAGGCTGCTCAAGTTGAACTTTGTATGTACATAAAATATCCGTATCATATGCATTGATTGATCCTTTAGCAGCATGGCATGATCGGTCTTATTTTGGTCTAATATCTCATAGTGATAATTATAATAAAGTGCATTATCCTTAAAACGGGCACTAACTATCCATATCACTCCCGTATCATATCACTCTCATAGATTAGACCATATACTGGGAGGTAGGAGTAGCATTCGACAATGGTATCTAGAATTGTCTTGACTAGTAAGGAATAAGGACATATGCATGCATTCCTCGATTCGTATCTAGAAATAATCAGAAAATTCTCCGTCTGGGTTGTTTTTGTATGTAAATGAGTATGTGCTAAGGAATTAACTTATACAAAGTGTAAATTATTACACCTTCACAAACATCGCAGTTTATTTTCGTCCGCTTGGCTATTTTGAGTAGTCAGTTTCATGAGAGGTTACTCCCCGTTAAAGGGTCTTTTTGGTAAGTTCTCGAATTTTGAATTTAGTTCTTGCTTGGCAAAACTATTCAGTTTTTTTGTAGTAACGACTTTATCGTCCACCTTATCATCATCATTCCTAAAAACTTATTCCTGGAAATCTCTTCAAGTGAATTCATATTCATACTTTAAACATTCCACATTCCGAGCCTGGAAGCAGCGGACTTTCTCTAAAATGAGTGAATTAGACAAATCTGTTTTGGACGCTGCAAAAAAATTGGCTGCGTATCAGGCAGTCGATGATCACATCGAGGTAATTAATTAAGTACATACATATTAGTACATGCACAACGTTAAACACTTTCCCTACTCGTACACGAATATTAGTACAATTAATTAACCTACTTTGTAATCAGAAACGCTGACGCTAACTTTTAACTTTTATTAGGATGGAATGGTTATTGGAATTGGCAGCGGAAGTACAGTGGTATATGCAGTTGAAAGAATTGGTAAGCATTTAATCATTCTTGTTATCCGCTAGCTAGTCCAGTTTCAGAAAGAATTAATTTAGCATGTGCATTATCTCCAGCGGAAAGAACACTTTCTGAGTCTATGAAGTTAACATGCATTCCAACATCATTACAAGCAAAAGACTTGATAATAAAGCACAAGTTGCCATTATCAGATTTGGATGTCAATTATCATGTACGTATTTAAATTTAATAGGAAACAAATAGGTTTAAAATATCATAAAAAATCCCAGGATTAAATTAGCAAACTCTGTCTTGGGATGAAAGTTCCAACTATTAAATCTGTGTTTGGTATAGATTGATGTTACTATCGATGGGTGCGACGAGTGTGATAGCAATCTCAACCTTATCAAAGGTGGTGGTGGGTGTCTTCTCCAAGAAAAGATTGTCGCTGCTGCTTCCAAGAAATTGATTATAGTGGCCGATTATACGTAAAATCCACACGCATTGATATAGCCAAGTATAATGATAATAAACATATATGCATACCTTTTTCATGTATAGAAAAGATTCCACATTTCTTGGTGAAAATTGGCAAAAGGGGATTCCTCTAGAAATTTCTCAAATCGGATGGAAAGTTGTTTTGGAGAAACTCAACCGGGTTTCGAAACCTGAAGGAGGTCACTCTATCTTACGCCAGGCAGTTAAAAAGATGGGACCGATTGTGACAGACAATAGTAATTTCCTTATTGATTTCCAAGTGGGAAACATTTTCAAGGATAAGAAAAGTCCTCGTGAAATTGAAACTTGGTTGAAAACAATTCCGGGGATTCTGGAAACAGGACTATTTGTGGACATGGCAAATCAAGCGTATTTTGGTCAGCCAGATGGTACCGTCAGGAAAACTGAAGAAATTGATCGTAAATAAGTTACAATACGTTACAATAAGTAGTGAGGTTCTCGAAATTGTTCAGAATATCAACTTATCTAGTTTCAAGTAAAAGTTCTATGAGCATGTGTAGTGCAGCATATTTATTAGCATTTTTGTCAAATAGTAACAAGAATGTAATTGTATTTATTATGTTATAAAATAAATATGATCATTCATTGCAAAATTAATATTAAAATGCGGGGTGGACTTCATACATGATTGATATATTTTAGTGTTATTACATAGAAATAACATAGGTTGCATGCATATGTACAATATTAATTAAGATGCCTATAGTTTTGAAATTAATGAAACAACGAGTTAGCAATTTTTCGTGTGCTGACTTTCTATAATTCATACGACAAATTAGAATTAACGAGTGAGATTTCAAGTGTCGATGGGATTTTGGATCACAATCATGGAATACTCTTTCTCTGCAAGACAAAAATGAGACATTCATGGTCAGCTTAGATTTTAATCATATCATAATTCGTTTGCCATCCCTAAATTATAAGTCACCTGGACAGACTAGAACTTCGTGTTTCTTGGTCCGAAGTCGGATAAATGTGAGGTCATTGTTATTGTCCAACTCCTTGATCATGGATCTAGTTTTGTCAACCATCTGAGTCACTTGGGCGGCGTATTGGACACTCAAAGAATTCTCCAAGGTTGACTTGATCGGAATACCTGATTCAGAGTAAAAATTATTGAAGTCAATATGAAATACAAGATTTAATTAATTAATCCGTATTAACGGATCGGGGCAATACTGAATGTTGAAATGTTACCTTCATGGTTAATCACAATGAGTCCAACCACTCCCTTGTGGGACATTATCCGCTTGATGGCTTCTTCCACTTCGTTATTAGACTGAAATTAAGATTAAGTCGCAGCAACGTAGGTTAATTAATTTGTCTGAATTCTCATATTCAGATATTCTTATCTCAGCCAGTCGTCTCCTCTGCGAAACAGAAAAGTAAAGAATTCAGAAATTGCTTACCATTTCGGCCTGGTTTCGTAGCCCGCTGGCTGGTGTCACCTCAGTTAGGAGTAGGATTCAAAACACTAAAATTCATTTGACAAATGAAGGATCATTTAATTACAAATCTTGTTTTCACTGTTGAAGTAAAATTGACTGACAGACCTCAGAATCTGAACAAGCCGCAATCTGTGGGGATCTTCGAGCAATGTCTCACTTTGTTTGTCTAACGAATAAGTGAGAGTGAGACGGCGACCAGCAAATGAGAAGACTCCTCGAGGAGTGAATGCAATTTTTTTTATTACTTGTTATCCGAAGTAATTGTCTTAGTAATTGAAACTTCTGAAACTACTGTGAAATCTTTTCATATCTTTCGTAGACCTAAAAGTGCTGTAGATTTACTAAAAAGCTTTGAGGTGGTATAACATTTTATTATTGATCAAACTAAACTGGTCCACAACCAAAGTTTGGTTACCAAACCCCTAAAAAGCCAATAATACTGTTAAAGTGGCGTTTTATTATTTCTCTGATAATGTGTACTTCATATTTTATCAATGTTTTAGTGTTAATAAAGGCATTATAAAATTTGTCGTATGAAAAAAAGCTCTGATAATTTGTCCCCAAACAGTAGACCTTTATTGATGCAAATTATGATAATACAAAATGTTTTAAATTCCTTGGGTTACAATTTTTTGAAGAACTTCAATACTTAAATCTATAGTAAGAGAATTTACACCTTTACGTTTCCCTTGATGAGTAGTAATTAATTTATGATCCACAAATTCTACAAGAAGAGTGCGTAAAACGGAATCATTGTGAGCAACAAAGCTATCTTTACATTTGCGAGCCAAATCTGCAAATTCTACACCCGCAAAGTCTTTTCCTTTTTTTCCGTCAATTCCCCTCAACTTTTCGAGCTGAAGAGAAGCTAAGATAGAGAATGCTTTTCGAGCATTGCCAGTTAAGGATTTCAGTACGTATTGAAGCGTATTCTCTGTTCCTTTAGAGTTGGTTGATTCTCCAAAAATGTTCGCAGTCCAGCTAAATTCCTCTGCATACGGTTGGAATGTCGAGCAAGGGATCCAACAAAAATTAAGTTGCACGCATTGACTTTGAGTCAGCCCTACATTATGAAATCATTGTCATATACCAGCATCAGACTAAATAATTGAAACAATAATTTGAAAACACTTTTTAATTAAACTTACCGAGAGATGCATTTATATTATCAGTTGTAGCAAGAACATGAATCCAAGGTATTTGTGCCAACGAGCAAATGATGGTAACCACATTAGAATTACTGGCTGCTAATGTATCAAAGTTCTGAACAATCATAAATACCGGAGGATGGTCAACGGGCAGTTTATTGCAAACTTCTCTACATTGAAAATGAAACCACTTGTTAGAATATTTAGCACTTTTAAAATTTAAAATTTTTAATACTCAGATATAGCTTCCAAACAGACTCCTTTAGCTTTAATTCCCAATTCGAGCGTGTCCACAAAGTCGGACATAACCTAATTATATTTACAAGAAACTTTAATTAATGCAAGAAAATTGGCTGGTTGATTTTTTATTTTTGTATATAAGTATGCGCACCTTTCTTGCACTCAATTTTGGACATAATCCGTTAATTCTAAACACGTTGAAATTCTCTTGCAAATATTCATTAAACGAATCCACGACTGCTAACTTTGATCCAAATCCATAAAGTATTATGTTAAATCCTTCCCTATTATTTTCCGAATTTGAATCAATCCAACCAAACACAATACATATTGCAAATCTCTAAATCATAAAATTAAACAGTTATAAATTACCACATAAAAGACATCCATCGTGGAAAATCTGGGATGATTTTGCTTTCTAAATTCGCCCTGATTTCTGTATCATGCTTCGAGTTGAGCACTTGTGTACACGCATCTACCGCTCGTGCCGTTTCTTTGGTCACAGAGAAGTTGGATGGAACCCTTTCAGGGAGTTGAGATTCCTTTTTCTTGCCACCCAAGCCCCTTGTCCCCTTCCTTGGCTTCTTCGCTCGTCGCGAATCGTTGGCCACAACTTGCTGCGACTTTGCCGACTTGAACTTCAGTCTGGTGTTGGCCAGCAGATAAGCTTCGTGATTGTAATTCTCTGCAAATGAAGTTGCAAAGGAATGTGATCCTGGTGAGGCTGGTAAAGCCGTTTCTAATCAATAAGAAATAAATAAAACTTATCAAATACATGTATATACCAAGCATTAAAGAAACATTTAATCTCACGTCGCTTAATGATCATAACTTGCTTCTGTTGGGCGACACTTTGTTGATGACCATTCGTCCCTTCGCTCGGGGAAGCCGTTTCAAAATAGTCGGGATCCTCGTCGTCAGATTCTGATTCTAAATAATCTTCGCTCTCATCATCGTCCAAGTTTTCCTCGTCGCTATCAGTGGGCTCGTAATTTGAAGAAGGCATGTTCGTTACGTGCTAAGCTTTTTATGCAATGTATAATCGTAAAATTAGTATTTATATATGGGATGGGAATGAATTATTATAGACAATATTTAATAAGCACTTCACATTCACACTTCTGTGCTGTGGGTCTTAATCTTTAGGATGTTTTCTTGTTTGTTGTCAGTATTGACTGGAAGACTTTTTTGAAAACGGTTACTATTTATTTATTCATTCTATTATATAGAATTTAAAGGCAGACAAATAGTTTAATTTTCTTTTACCAAAAATAAAACTTGAACTTACATGAAATAGAATGAACGAAAAAGTGATTAGTGAACAAAGGTGAGAAACCGGGCACTACTATTCTGAACCCGGTTGAGACTCGACCAAAATGAGACATATTACTTTTGATTGCCAGCTATGCATTTTTGCTAATTTGTGTCGAGTTGAGTTGAGACTGGACAATAGTGAATGTATTCATTAGAATGAGTTTTATTCAATTTTAAATAGTTTTATAATTTTTTTTAAGTTCATTTTAATATATATAATCCCTCAGTATTCACTTGCCACCGTGCGACACCTTTGGCGTCGTTTTGGTCACAGTGCAAGGGAAAAACCCTATAAAGATGAACAGGGCACAAAAAACCTTGCACGAGGGATTGCACATATAATTTAAAGTTTCGTCTACTACAAGCTACAACCTCTAATTCGAGTCAGTTTTTTTTAGTTTTAATTGACTTTAAGATATTTTCATATCAATAATATAATTCGTATTTTTGCTGCCATATTTTTATGGCTATATTATTTTTAGAAATAGTAACAAAGATAATAATGATAGAGTTCGTAGATAAACAATAACAACGGAAATATGAGTTAATAATATGTAGAGAAATGGTGACAGGCAGCCTCATTGTTGCTGTCTCGCATGTCTTTGAAGTTGCTGAACAGAGTTTTGCGAAATCATTGTTTGCTGTTGTTGCTGTTGATGAGCGACGACATGCCCATCATTATTCTGTGGTTGAACATTAAAGAACTGGTATGGCGGAACACCTGTACCGCCACCTTGGTCATTGTTGTAGAGGTGAGGAGGACACGGGCCAGAATTCACTCCAGAATGGTGATTAGGGGTCACAACAGCACACCTTGCAACATTCGCATAACTTCGTCCTGATGCTCCGCCTGTTGCGAATTCCGCAAAATCTTCTTCTTGTCTACAACTTGAGTGGTTATAATTATCGTTAGAGCTGCTTAATTGGGTTGATAGAAGAGATCCGAATGATGGAGCCATTGCAGAATTAGTATTCCAAGTATTGTTAGAAATCCCACAATCAAAGGTTCTGGATTGATTTTCCGATCCGGTACGGGCGTACATGGAGGAGGAGGATGGTAATAATAGTGGTTCCAATGTCAGTGGGGAAGCATTATTAAGTCTTCTATTTTGCTGGGGCTGAGTTTGCTGATGAAGACTTTGGTCTAAAGGAGTTACAGACGATGATAATCCATCAGAAAACCCTAAATTTGCCCAGATATTTTCGGCTGCTTCAGCGATTTGTACTTCGCTTAGCTGCTGCGCAATTGAGGCAATTCTGGAAGAGTTTAGATGCACTGTAACTGAGACGTCTGCTGCATTCCAAATATTTTTATTAGCAGGAACAATATTATTATGCATTTCACGATGTTCTTGAGTTTCTTGACGAGGCGCACCACATCGAGCTACGCGGATAGCTTCTTGAACTTTGATGATCAAGTTACGAATTTCTTCTGTTGGACCGTTTGTCATAGAAAACCTTTCCAACATTTGTTGCAAGTGCAACAGATCCGCAAGTGGTAAATGTGCAATACCTCCATCGTTAAAATTAAGCGAACTGGAAAGTGATGTGGACTGTTGTGGGGCAGAAACTGTTGACGCAGAAACCCGAGGATGAAGCCCCATTTGTTGCTGTTGTTGTTGTTGTGCTTCAGCGATCACTTGCTGTTGTGGAGATTTATTGCGGAACAGAGACATCCCGGCCATATATTGCTCTTGGGTTAATGATGATTGAGGTTGAGGTGGTTGTTGACGATAGGGTTGTATATGGTGCTGTGATGATGTTGAATTATTTGATGATGATGGGAAACGAGATTGATTCCGCTGATCTTCGTTTGGAGTTTTAATGTTCATTAGGCCAGTTAATGAAGGTGTTGCATCAAAATGTTGTGGTGTGGAAATTGGAGGAGGAAAATTCGGTCGATTGGGTGGTATTAAATTCTGTGGTAGATGGTGCGGTGATGATAGATGAGGTGGATGCAAGACGTCGGCGTTAGGAAACCTAGAAAAATTTCTAGGAATGGGCATTCTTAGATGTGCCGGCGGAGCTGGTGGTTGATGTGGAAGGACCAATCCTCTGGGTAGATGTGCGTTTGGTGGCAATACAGGTGGAGGTGGTCGTCCACCAGGATATCCACCCATTTGAGGAGGAAAAATAACCTGGAAATTAATAATCAGCATAAATTTACATGCAAGAGTATATTTATGTAGGAGTAAGGATTATTTTTAAATTGCAACTTTTCTTTAAACAAGACAGCACGTACATGAGGAGGTACAGGCGGAAACAAGGGTGGATACCCCATATATGGTGCATGATGCAGGGATGGTTGGCCCAGGCCAGGGGGAACCATGGTACTCTGTGGAATAATCCCAGGAATGGGACCATGACTTTGTGGTGTCCACGTCATTGAGGATAGATTATTGGGACCACTCGGATTGAATCCGGTATTTCCAGGAGAAATTGGTCTGTGGTGGTGCTGGGATGCCACTGTTGTAAGATGCTTTGCAGAGTTGGGAGATGTGAAAGCACCTCCTGGTATGATTGCAGTGTTAAATTGCTGGACAGGGTTGTTTGAAGAAATAGGAGTGGCGATCATAGGACTATGGTGAGATGTGACTGACGGTGTTGGCTGAAACCCTTTGAAATTTGATCGAACACCAGCAGAATTAGTCAAATAATCTACAGGTAGTGCTTTTGGTTCAAAAACATCTGTAACAACAAGAAGAAAAAGTGTTTGCAGTCATAATACTACTATGCAATTATTATCTTGATTGAACTAAACCAAACCTGCTAAAGGGTTTAATCCCCAAGTTACTCGCATTTCGAGACCAAGGATGCTTTGCTCCAACTGCGTGTAAGATATTCCATAAAGCGACTTGTTTTTTTGGCAAACGTTGATGAAATCCTTCCATAAGTTTCTGTTCATATAGAATTTAAAAATTTAAGCAAACAGAAAATACATTTAAATTTTCTACCATGTCATACAAAGTGACAAACCTGCATTTTCCTTCCGAGCATAAAGAAACTGGATCACCAACAACAGCAACAAGACTTTGCGCCCTTGTAAGAGCAGTATTGAATAGCTTTGGATTAGAAAAGAAGCCCAAGTCCACCTCATTACCAATTGCTTCAGGTAATATCTTGACCTAATAAAAATAATCTCGCATCTTTAACTTTTTCCAAACACTCATATTTGTGTAGCACCAAGGTATTTAAACAGCGCTGCCCGTAATAAAAATAGTACTAAATTCTTACCCATGGTCGGAAACTTCGAACAGTTGATAGAAACACAGCTCGAAATTGTTTTCCTATGATTACATTCATATTCCTGTTAGATCGAAAAACATGTTTTTTAATACGCGAGACTAACCCTGCACATTTAAAACCCTCTCAACTGAGACACTGTAAAGTCCCTTCTTCCTGAGTGCATGTCGTATTCGAGACACCTATTACAAACAAATATAATTAGTTGGTTAAGAAATTAATGTTAGTAAAATATTGAACATTTTATATAGGGGATTGGATTATATTTGATTATAATGAGTATAAGCCATATTATTGTCGTAATTGATCTACCTGATCAGAATATGGCGTCAAAACACCAATAGCGCTTTCATGTCGATAACTTCCCCAACTTTCAGGCCACGATGAAACAAGTTTAGATACTTTGTCTACAACTTCAAACACCTAAAAATATTATAAAATACAATACAATAGATATTAAGACAACAAATGAGAATGTTCAAGAAGAAAAGTGTAATGTACTTCAGCCATGTTGTAGTACGATGTGCTATCCTTTTCTTGGACTTCTTCCCCTCTCGCAGAAAAAAATGTCAACGGATAAAATTTATCATGAACAGGTTGAACCATTGAACTGCAAATAAAGAAAGGTCAGTTATTTATTATGTAAGAAAATAAATTTTGTCATCAATTATCTTGGATTATAGACTTATTATTGATTTATTATTATTGATAGACTTACCACTGGAGACGTTTGTTGTAAAACTCGTCTGACACGTACTAAATCATATACATAAATTATTACTATACGAATTATAAAATGCTTTCTCCTTAGGCATAGCGCAAATTACATCAATTATAGATGAATGAGAACGATAGTTTTCACAGAGCATTAATTTGCATGGATGGCCATCCGGGTAATAATTGTGTAACCGTTCAAGCAATGAAGGGTGCAAGCTTTTTGCTTCTTCTGAAAACAATTCCGGGCTTAACTATAAAATTAAACATTAGATTGATAATTCATCCAGAAACATGACTATTGTCAGACAAACGCAAGTTTTAACCTGCATGTGATCCCCAGCTAAAACTAATGTCGTATCTTCTCCTGCACACATTAACGGTGTAATAGCTTCACTCTCCATTGCTTGGGCGGCTTCATCCAACAAAATATGACTGAATGTGTCTGGTGTCCATTAATGATAAGTGAAATTTACAAACAAATTACACAATGATAAACAATTATGATCAATGATTAATTATCCATATTGCATTGTTATTATTACCTTTTGGAAGATTCATCTGCATCAGAATGTACGACGTACTTAATGTCACAACTATCACTTTGTGAGCCAAAATTTCTTCTAATTTTGGAGGGCGAAATCTTAAATTTTCTATGATACAGTACTAAAGCCAAAGCAAAGTTTTTTATGGATTACAAGTACTATGAAGTCAGATTTATAATGAAGTTGTTTATACCTGTATAACGTCTGGATGTACAGAGTTCAAGTTCCTAAGGTGGTAATATATGCGAAGCGGTTTTGCCGCAGTAAATCCTTCTTGGACCCACGGATCAAGATATTCTAACGAGAGGTAAACAATCAATTATTAACACTTAATAACAATTAACTAATCGGTTAATCTAGTAGTCAGAAAACAAACACTTTTCAATCTCAAATGGGAAAGAAACTGTGTTAACAAATAACACCTATATCCATCACAAATATTACTCTTTTCTAACAGCTTGCAAAAATGGACGACATTTCATTGATGCGAGAATTTATTTGTTTTGTATTACCTTTGATATATCTAGAAATAAATAATAATGGCATGAAATGACTGTAAAATATTATTAAATCTTGAAAAACTTACAAATCTGCAGCACTATTCGAATGGGGGAACAAAAATACAATAAACTAATTATCATTTCATTTCATAAACCTACAAACGAACCGTGACAAGCTTGTTTATAACTTACCTATTCGAATGGGTGCAGACCATGATGCGAATGTTAGGTTGTAATAACAGTTTGTGAATACATTGTGCCAAAGTAAATGTTTTTCCTGGAAATAAAAGATCATGCTGATCATAATCTAAATTCCAGGCATAAACTGAGAATTATAAATTAATAAATATACAAAATATACCTGTTCCAAAAGGACCGATCACCAAAATTGGAGGAATTCTAGGGGCTTCTGAAGTAATCGCTATTAATGACTCTTTTTGACGTGGGTTCAATTTCACTTTAGCATCGATAATTTCGTCCCCCCATTGCCTGCTCAGTAAACAATACAATGCATCTCTTATCTTAAATGGATACATTTGCATACATATACATAGCATTATCCTGTAAATAAAATTGTAATAATTTTTACTTTATCGGACTCCAAGGGATATGATGATGCATTCCAAAATTAGGGAATAACATGTCCAAGTGAAAATCTTTAAGCTGATCAATGACAGATTTCATCTCCATAAACGCGGTTCTATCGAGCTGAAACTGGATGTCAAACATTACAACGTCCGCATTCTTCAAATTCAGCTCCCTCACGCTACAAATAAATTAATCTTTACAGCTAATTAAGCTCTAAAATATAACTATTAGTCATCGAAAAATATAATATTATGTTATTATATTAATACCATGTTGTGCCGACATCAATATAAATGTTATTTTTAGTTTTGTCAGAGATTGGGCAAAGATATACTTTTGGCTTAAGACCGCTTTCTGAAGACTTTTTAACTTCGTCACTTCTTGTCATCAGCAGATAGTTACAGCTTCGTAGAATAAGACGACCAACTGCGGTATCTTCTGATACGTCCCTAAAAACATCAATATCAATAGAGTATTATTAACAGTTGTAAATAGTTAAGACAAATACTCATGAAAAATAGGACATACCGGAATAAAGTCATTCGACCATAAAGTGATTTATCCACCGAGTACCGTGTCATTCCATCATTGTGACCGGATGTCATCAAATAACTTTCCGTTAAATTTAAAGGTGCCGTTAGATTATATTTTGCTAAAATTTCTTGTCTTGACCGTTCCTCTTGTGTCAGAAAATACCCTGCAAAGGGTAGATAAAATCGGAAACGTTCAGTAATCAGTATCATCCTATCATGCACACACATGTGGTAGGTAAACATGTATGTATATGCGTAGCTAGTATACATAAACCATCTTACGCATTATTTCCTTGTATTGACCCTTATTTAATGGTTCAGAGAGAGTCGATGGTAAACCTTCTGGCTTAACGCCGTTAATTAACGCAAATCCAAGTTTCGTTTCTGCAACTTTATCTCCGGTAAACCCATCGACAATGTCGGCATTTCCAAAATTCCATGTTCCCCCAATTTGAAAACTTGAATATTCGTCGAATGTCGGGCTGGAACAAATCGTTTCCACATCTCCATTGATTTCAGTTGCATCATCCGGAGGAGGAACAACATTCACGGCTAACTTCTTAATTACTTTTGGTTCATCCCCAACATCAAAAATGACGGTTTGACGGAATGTTCCGTAAATGTTGGATTTGAATTTGACATCAACTTTGTACGTGAAATAATTTTTTTTTCCTGATAAAGCGAGAGCAGTTGGACTTGAAACTTCCACAATTTGAGTCTATAAAAACGATTTATATGAATGCAACATTTGAAAATAGGCATATCGTATATAATAAAAGCTTTTGATGATGACGTTACCTCAACGTCTTTTGCAGATTCGTTGATCAAGTTAATTTTCTTGGTGGCGCCATAAATAACTGCCATGCTTATGAAAAAATAGTCTCTATGTAGGTCTTCCAAGAGACAGAGATTCGTTAGTGGCTTTTTGGTTTCTACTGCAAATGTCCACTGGTATACCTTCGTATTTTCTGTTGTTGAAACAACGGCTTCCAATGGTTTTGAACATCTGAAATAACACAACGACACCAAAATCCATAATTAAATGGTCGTGCGTTTGGGAATATTAACTTGAAATACCGAATTTTCATATAATCTGGTATGACGTCTGACACAATAGTACATTGATTAGTGGCTTCTTCCAAACGATCCAGTATCCTTCGAATATATCTCTCGCCACTGTCCAACTTGATAGTATCCAAAAGCAATGACACGGTCCTATCATCTCAACTATTAAAAGACCTCAACAGTAGTTTAGTTAGGCGCAATCACTGCAATCGAGTTACTTTAATGTGTTCCGATTTTTCCACTCTTCAAGCTCATCAGCTCCATGCGCATCCGGACATTTTGCACTAAACAAATTTAAAGTTAATTAGTCGTTAGAACATATAATTTGCACTACACAAGGACGTATAGTAAGTGTTACACTATCAGTATATTAGGTATGAAAGTGTGTAACCCTAATAAACGAATAAACCTTACCCTAATGAACAATGGCCAAACCGAAATGGTAAACACAGAGTAAGTGAAGTTTTGCCAGGTGGAAGAGGTCGATATCTAAAATCATCGGAAATGTGTCTTTTAGAGAACAAGTCAAAACAAATAACTATTATTAACTATTATGGTTGAATTATTAACCTCCATTGTGGATCTTGAAGTTTACGGGCCAACAACCAATCGTAGCTTAAACCAAGTTGATCTTCAATATTACTGAAAGCGTCTGAAGCTAGAAGTAAAGGTACAAAGTCAATTGTGATGATAATGAGATCATTGATTTGTAGTTGCACTACCTTCTATTCCATTTTTCACAGCATTAATAAGCGCTTCTAGTTTCGTCCGGCATTCCATCATATCCAGGTCTTGTGGGGAACAAGTTCTCCACAATTTGAGAATTTCAGTTACTTGTTCGAGCTTAAAACAAGTCATTTTATATAAATTAATCAGATTTTTAACATACCTCAGTGTGAGTCTGCTATATATATGGCATGCTTACCCTGCTAGTTTTACACAAAGCTACCAAAAGACATTTGTATGCCAAGGAATAATCCGTCCTTTTATCCAAAATCCTCCGAGCATCGTTTACAACTTCGTCAAAGTGATGGAGCTTCATGTGAATTAAACAACGTTTTTCTAAAAGACTGACTTCGTCGGCTGGAGAAATACCATCGGCCGCAGTGGCCTCTTTTACAGGGCTGCCGTTTCCATTTTGATCTTTCCGACTTGCACTTTCTCGATGATTCCTGTCCAGACACAAATTGAGGAAGTGGAGAGCACTGTGAGGTTCTCCTTCGTTAAGTAGACGAATGGCTTCGAGGGCATATCGTGTCGTGTCAAGGGCCTGTGATGAATTAGATGTATCCGCTTCCAACATCTTTAATGAGACCAGTAAACAGTAATAAGAGATAATGAGATCGTAGATCACAGAGCAGAAGAAGGTGGTGAGACGGTGGTGCGCTGGGCTACTGTTCCGTTCTGAAAGTTACCAAGAATAATTGAAAATTGTGAGAATAATTCGCACAAACCTTACAGATAGTCCACAGCAGACATAACCATAATATTCAAGCTGTAAAATTTTCAAAACTTATATGCAACATATGACATCAAAGATCTTTGATGTCCTTGATTCAGTATTACTAAACGTTCAATATTTTTTTATAACCGTTTAATTAATACATGATCAAGTTTCAAATTGAAACTTTCAATCAGAGAATGAAGACAGAACACTTTGAAACGAGATATCAGTACAAGATATTCAATATTTAAAAAACTCACCGAAAATTCAACTATGAGGCGATAATGACAATCTATTCAAAATTCCTAACAAACACAAACACTACATAAACAATCTATTGTTGATTGTTACGAATACGAACGATATAATTTTTACACTTTTGTTTTGTTGCGTATTTTTTATTTCATTTTTTTTTATTTTATTTTTTTCCTGCAGTTAGCACTGAAAATCACCTCGCCTATTTAACCTATATAGGTTAAGCATACTAATTATTAAAACTTTTTAATTTTGATCTACGGTTGTTTGTAATCTCACATACCTTTAGATAAACACAATTCTAGTTTGAGATTGATTAAAATATCACACCGTCAACCGTCTGCCTATATTGACCGGTGATGAGATAACAATAACATCGAGATATATAGTCATATAAATAATTAACGCTTCTCTCTATGCTCTATCTAAGACGAGTATCAATATTTGAAATACTGACATCAAATGATATATTTTTAGTAGCGTTGACGTATCGAACTACATTACTTTCACTACCATGTACGTACTGCTATTTATAGAAAAATTGACTAATTGAAACTTTTCAAGTTTAAATTCTTGCAAAGTTTTAAAAACTTTCATATGTGTTATCGATAACTTACGTTATATTTTACTGGTAGTAAGGTTAAAAACAAAAACACTAACTGATGAGTATTATAAATTACAAGAATAACAAATAAAATGTAGCCTTCCTAATCCTGTACATATAATAACACAAAATCAATTATTATCAGTTTCAATAGGTCTCAATCTTATGTCAAACAGAAGGTCGATAAGCAGGGAGTTTGGGTTTTAAAAAATATCAACTATAATATTTAGTAAGATGATGAACTTTAAACTACAATTTTGAAATAACTACAAAAAGCTATCTTTAAGTAAGCCTATATGTATTTATCAGTCCTCGCCTCGAGAGTGGCGGTCGGTGAGGGTGATGTAAAAAAAAGACGATGCAAGCAACCACCGATTTCGGGTCGATCGAGCCACGAATCGGGAACAACAAATTTGGGAGACGCGCTATGCATGCATTGAGACGAACGTTGAATTTGCTGAATGCTAACACTGTTATTCACAACTTGTGAATTATATTTAAAACTGCACCAACATTTGACATTCGACCTTAATTATAGAACAGTGAGTTATTATTTGCATTAGTGGTCCAAATGCTAGTATGGAACATGATGTTGGGGTTGATTGTTGAGCAGCAGATATACCATGCGATGACCCGACAAATGATAGAACTTTTTTGCATTTTACATGGTGTTGGTAAGTTTAGAGATATATCATGCGCCTTAAATTATAATTCTAGGTGTGGTGCAAACAACATTTTTGGATAATAGAGCATGAATAGGAAAGAAAGTTTACTATTCTCAAATGCATATACATGCTCCTGTTCATGCTCTATCTATGTAGATACTATGAAGTTGTGTAGAATTTCCTGGCATCAGAACTATTCGGAATGAACTAGGTTTGATTATTGACGTCATCTCTTTGGTCCATCACTTTGCGCCCAATCTTTTCGGTGATGACCACTTTTTCCTTCCCCCCGACGATGTTGGTGACATGGGGACGGCAGGAGTCCATCACCATTCTGAGCCCTTTGCCATGCTTCCGCCGCTCCATTTTGTTCCGCTTCATCTGCTTCACGGCCTGTACGCACCCTTTGAGGGGGTCCTTTCCCGTGCTGTTGAAAACGACCAGAACGCGGTGGTCAGTAGCTGAAAAGGAGGCGATATGATATGACGGGGTATAAGCAGGGCACGAGTACAAATATGTATGTCGTATCTCTTGTATTGTGTGTGTACCAATTGACAACAGGATTTCAAACTTGCTGCTCTGAACTCGAAGGAAATTGAGTTCATTGCTGGGATCCGTGTCGCGTATGGCGGCAATGGCCAGGCCTTCCACAATCTTCATTTGACGCTTCCAGTAATATGTCAGATTATGGTGAAAAGTAGATTCGATGACGTTCCCTGGTTAAAACATTTTATTACTTTGAATGCATGCAACTAAGAATTTCTTCTGGACAAGTTTATCGTACATACAATTCTCTGTGGTGACCATTACGCCAAAAACTCCTTTGGAAGTGCTCATCCGCTTAACAGCTTCCTCTAGCTTCTCCTTCCGTCGGCGTCGCAAAGCAGTGAAGGATATTCCCTGACCACTTCCTACCTGCAATAATGCAATATCACAACGCCTTGATTGACTGCCAGAACTGGGTGGAGTTCACTAATAATTGATACCTGTTGACTCATTGTTGTTGCGATAAGTAACGTTTGTCCTATGTGATATGTGACCACCAACAAGCAATTTGCACAATCACGTAGCTTTATAGAATTCCGTCCTATCTTGTTGGGCGCAGCAAACACATCAATTTCGTTTTGCATGTGTAACCTGGAATCACAGGTTTGATCAATATAAACTATTTGGGCACCAAGGATACGAACGGATCAGAGAATTTTTTGGCTCTCATACGGCATGAGTATAAAGCAAAATGACATATTAATTCATAAAAGGCCGTGTTTCTCTGTAGTGAAAACTCTGACACTAGAACTTATTCCACAGAAATGGAATGCCAATCACTTACAAGAAAACATAAATTTTATGTTGGATTAAACATAAGTACTGTATACATCCATGCATATATGACACTTAAATGTAAAACCTACAGTGCAGACTCCATATAGCCCGAGTCAGGGACAGAGTCCCTGACTCCTCCAGGGTCACTCTGGTTAAAATTTGCTCACTTTTAGCTTCATATCCTTTCGTGAGAAGCCATTAGGTATCACCGTGCCGGATTTAATGTTTTAAAGTAATTTCTAAAAATCGGTATGGGTCACCCCACAGGGTCGCTCCAGATAAGAATTTTACCAATTGCATGTCATATTCTTCTATTAAGACCCATTAGCAATCTATCTACCAAATTTCAGCTTGGTATGACGATTTTGAAAAATCGGTATGGGTAACCCCGTAGTCCCTCAAGATGAAAATTTTTCCAACTTGAAGTCATTTTTATCTATTAGGAGCCATTAGCAACCTCTGTACCAGATTTCAGCTTTCTACGACAACTTTGAAATTTTGGTGCACGAGACCCCACCCACTCCGATGACCCCCACCGGTCAACCACTTGACCGATTTTGCCCATCTTCGAACTCGTTTCCTAACTTTGTCCAATATGCATATGGTAAAAATTTCAAGTCAATCGGTTCAGCCGTTTTGGCTCTATCGTGCCGGACAGACGGACGGACGGACGGACGGACGGACGGACGGACGGACGGACGGACGGACGGACATGACGGTTCCATAAGCCCTGACTCGGGCTAAAAATAAATGCTAAAATCTCATCTTGTCAATTCAATGACGTCGGCGAATAGAGAATGACGCAAATATTTGTAGAGATGTGATTTTAAAAGTCACGCAGCTCAAAAAAGCAAGCTTTTACTAATCCTAGTAGTCAACACATGCTGAGATGACAAATTGCAGTTGACATTGTTATAATGGGCGAGCCGAGGATTTACAAATGCAATTTTAGATGTACATAAAATACTAACTCTTTCCCTCACTATTTTCAGTAAAGAAAAATAATGCTGTGAAAATTTTCTCGCATCCTTATCCTTGTATCCAAATTCCACGTTAATACGGTTAGTGGGGTGACAGGAGGGCGCAGTGGCAGGCTTTCCATGCTTTCTTCTCACTTTCTCCTTCGTGGTTCTGTTTTAAACATCAGAACTGCCATTTCCAGCCTCAGTTTCTTCTGAACCTTTCCCGGAGATTTGCGATACCTGCCCATGGGCCAGTCCTGCTCCACATGTGCTCAGCCAAACACATAAAAGTGACATAACCATCCCCCAGTGGAATCCGTTACTCAAGGCTAAAACTAACTGTATGTTGTGTGGGATAAAGAGATACAAAATCAGATTAAATCTGCACACACATATTTAAGAAGACTACGTAAAGTAAATACTTCATAAAAGTGCTAAATTTAATTGAACTCGTATTTCTAACACACAAATATCTATTCGTCGTTGTTGGTCGTTGTTATTAGGCATTTGAATACGAAATGACCAAGGTAAGTTCACTTAAAAAGAAGCTTCTTTCTTCCTTCTATCATCCATGACATATTCTTGTCTTAGCATCCCATCTCACCGTTCCTATTTTAATTAGTGCTTCGTTTTATGACGAGGGGAACGTAAAACAAAGGCTTGTGGTGATTAAAGACATTCACTTTCACCAAGCAAGAAGGCCACCAACATCCTAAAATTTTCGTGGTTGGTAGACTTGTTAGAATACAACGGCAACATTTTATAGGCCCCTCACCATCTCTGGACGGTTATTATTCGTACTTTCCATTTAATGAGTTCACAGAGAGAAATCTCTCATCAACTTCTTGCACTGAATATGCACTCGTTACGTTGATTATTTTCTGCTATTAGCTGTTGTGAGTACGTATGGCAATTATTTCTATTCTATAAAGTCCACTCCACGCTTTCTTTCCTAATTTAGCACAAATTGATGAAGGTAATAAAGCTTGTAATTATTTGGTACATATGTAGATACGCAGTGTGTAAAATGAGGCTCAAAAACTTGTATAAATTCTGAAGCACTTTTTCCGCTGTTTTCTAAAATAAGTATGATGTCGAATTTCAAAGTGAGGTTCACCCCCAGAGTAACTTGAAGCAATTAGACGAAAGCGTGTAAGAATGGTGGAAACAGTCGAGCAAGTTGTATACTAAAAAGTACATACACTCTGCTCCTCAGATACAGTCTCGCGTGTCACTTTTCAATGAATTAGGTTTGAGGAAAGCACTGTACGGATGCTCTGTCGAGAATGATAAACAAAATAAATCCCTTTCCAAGGAAAGTTGAAACCTTCCTAAAGTCCTTCGAAAACAATCGGTGGAGAAACCTGCCTTTATTGAGGAAAATAAAATCTTTTGTCTCTTGCCAAAGTCTGGAAGGAAGGATGCTTTGGCACAAGTTGGCAGCAGAGCAGCAATGCCTTCGTCGGAAGTAACGACTTTAGAAAATTCCAAAGTCGAAAGTTGAAAACCATCTCCAAGGTTCATTACCCATTTTAAGTTACCCCAAGATGAAATAAGCGAGTCTGCAGTTCTTCTTCAGCTCCCAGAAATCTCTGATGATCAAGCCAACCAATTCTTTAGCTGCAAATTCTAAGTAGTCTGATTGTTAACTTTAATATTTTGTGCTCCACTTTGTACTAAATATAGAAACTGAAATGATATTACTGAGGTAAAACCATATAAAATCATACATACGCATATGTGTAGTATACTCATGAAACAAACCTACATACCGAGGCATCTTGCTTTACGTGTGTATGCATTACAAATTTACGTGTATGTGAAGGCAAGCTTTATGCAAATTTAAGAGTAATTGGTAAAATAAGGTAAGCATTCCGATTACAAAACTTTTTTTTACTCTTCTTCTCTTGTCATTTAGAGTAAAAGCTATGGTGCTGCCGAGTGTGTCGGCTGGTAGCCGTTGCTCTTCATTTGAAAACCTAGCAGAAAATCCAATTAAAACTTTTGAAGGTTTATATTGATAGGGAAGGAGACAGTTGACAAGACAAGAAATCAGGCAGGCAAGGTATCACAGCAGGGAAACTCGAGTCACTTGTGCCATCTAATAATGGTAATGTTCATAATAATAATTCTGGGACCCATCTCCCCTCAGATAATATGACATCAAACTAGTGAAAGTTGAGTTGAGCAAACATATTGAATTCAGCACACACGAACTGGATGTGGCTGGCTTTCTCCTCCTTCAAAGAAATGTTATACCCGTGTTGAAATAATGTTTGGAGAACCCACAGTCGCATTTTCTTCCTTTCTATCTCATCTCATCGGACATAGTTTACTTCTGGAAGAGGTCTGACTGAACTCCTGATTCTCATGCGGGTGAAACCCGTCTCCTTGCTGACAGCAATACGAAAAGAAGAAGACGACATGAGATTCGCGTTCAGATTGAAGATTAGCCTTTTGTCTTTTTACTGGTTTCCAGTCACGTTTTCCTTCGTATGGAATGACCCTTTCTCCAAGTTCCTTTCTACTACACACAACTAGTGTCCGTGTACGCATTCCTCTCATCCAAAATCCTACCGTCGACTCTTTAGTTAGTGTTGAAATGATGGGTGCGTGTGGAATGAAACTTGATTGCTAATAGCAGTGGAGGAGGGAGGGTTAATTACACGATGCATAAACACACACTAAATAAATGAATACATAATTGGAGCAAAAGTCACTTTATCAAAATGCACAATCTCAAATTTTTAAGGCGTTGCTACTTAACTATGTGGAACATTTAAGTATTTGAGATATCAAGATATGCACGTCTGATTAAATCAAGTAAGACACGATGATCGACAACAAATTAAATACAAATCGGTAGCCAACTTTTCTCAATGAATGACAAATAGTTTGCTCAGCAAACATGTATGGATCTGCCGGCTGAATTGTAATAGGGCGCAGAAGGGACAGGGTAGAAGATTGGTTTGGATTCCTTGAGTACGTATCAGAATGTCAGACAGCGGATTCCAAAGTGGTGGAAAGTCTGAGAATGAAGTGAAAACTTTGAGTCGAATCGGATACGATATCGACAAAGAATATAAATGTTGGAATTTTCAATGCCTGGAAGTATCGAGAGTTCGTTTGGTTTGAAACTCATAAATGTATGAGTTGGGACAACAATTCTAGTGGAAATGTACTACATGTAAGCACTTAGGATATTCAGTAGACGAATTTAAATAGTTTTATGTACACGTAATTATATTTCTCGCAATTAAAAAAAATGTTTGAGGAGTATCTTGCTTTATAAATTAGGTTCTTCATGATGACAATTATTTAACATAGTCGTATGCATGAGATATATACATATATATGCATGTATTCTTCAACTGCATGAACATATTTTTCTATTCTTTAAAGTAAGGATAAATGATCAAATAATTAGCAATCTTCATTCATTTGCTTTAATCAAACGATATGGGTCACGAATAGCTAGGTATACATACATATACGAGTTTATGAGTACTAACCTTGGTATAACCTCACGCTTTGCATGGCATACATGATTATGAATTACAAGGATATACCGGAAAAAGCCGACCACAAAGTGGAACATTAAAACCCGTAACCTCAAAAAACTCTCCTTAAATGAAAAATTTACGTATGCATATAATCGCTTCTTTACTATTAAGTTGAGAAGGAGAAAGTCATTTGGGATGAGTGGAGACGGAAAGCTGTGATGCATTTGAGTCAATTCTTTTAATGTCCTAAATACTGGATTGGATCCAATCAAACAAGGTAGTTGATTTCATCGGTTGTTGGCATCGTTGGTACATCTTGACATTTGGCAAGTTTACTTTCTACTGCGAAATAGTCGTATACCACTTTATTTAAGGACTCAATTCAACTGTTTGTATTTTCTAATTTTCATCAGAACTCGTCAGACTCTGGTTCTCGGAACAATTCATTCGAATCATCTCCATGAATGAATGGGCGTCTCTTCTTTTAAATATAAATTAAAATTGAGGTTTTAATTGATTCTTGCTGAAATTCCCCAGATCGAGAGAAATCAAATCTACTTCTTCATTATCTTATTTTGAACTTCAATCTGATTGTCATCATATTTACACAGAACTTTTGAAAGCTTTAGTTTAAACTCATTCTTGGCCCAGTCGAGTACAATTTCATCTGCATATTTATACGAATTAGTATGAAATGCTTATATTTTGTTGTATATATCTGCTATATATGTATGTATGTATTAATTAATTTTAAAATAATTTTAAAAGCCAGCCTTCCCGAGAAAGATTCTAAAGACGATATACTATATTAAAGTTATGCACACAAATTCAAGACCAAGTCAAAATTTTATATTGAAAATTAGGCGATCAAAGCTTATGGGAAAAATATGAGCGACTCGGAAATGACTCTCATGTTATTCTCCATTTCTTGTTATTTAGTTTTGCGTTGCTTTCTCCTCGTCTTCAAAGTGTATTTTTGAGAGATTGAATTTACAAGAGGTGCACATGCATATGGAAGTATGTACATGAGCTCTGCATCACATTATTTAACTATGAAAAGGTAATGGGATGCCCACCACTCACATTAAATGTGATGAGATGACTGGGCGTCAATGACATGTAATGTAATACGTACATTGGTATGACATGAATGCAAATTCGATTTTACTAAACAACCAAACACTCGGAGCATCATTGAACAGAATATTACGCAAATATTTGTACATACTGAACACTGAGCCACCAGAGAGGTAAAGACGTACATGTTATCCACTCGGGTGAAAACGTGCTTTTACCTCACGCCATTACTTTCGCAGAAAACAACCTGAACAGAATACAAATGCAGATACGAATTTCATCCCTTTGTTGTGATGTCCCACTTTTATCACCCTCTTTATGTATAACACAACAGCGCTAATATTGCTGTTAAAAACTTGTCGCAAGGAGCATTGAAACAAAAACAGGGGTGTGAACATTTCGCTATCATTTTTTAGTTTTAAGATTCGCACAAAGAATTCTCCAGAGTATATCCAGTGAACTTTTTCTTGTTTCTTTCGTGCAATCCTCACAAGCTTAAATCAACAACTTCACCAAAAGCTAGCTCAATTTGAAGCTCTTTCAAACTTTTGCATCACGCCGAGTTGATTTCGTTTACAAAGATTTAGTAAGAAACAAATCCAACAAGGTGTTGACACATTCCGGTGAATTTTCTCACTCTTCAGCTCGCTCCTCAAGAGACTTAAGTCCCCAATGAATGGAATAAAGCTAGGCACGTCGTAGCGAATAATGCTGCCACGACTTTACTGGCTGTGTCCCCTTCGTGTATTTTGTTCTGCTTGGTAGATATTGTGAATCTTGCTCACTTATTGTTGCATCACATCACATACATTAAGTCCATTAAATTACTTGAGAAGTCAACGCGCATGATGTTTTAGTTGATTTGTATAGTATGCAAAAGTGAGTGGATTTTGAAATACTATTTAGTGGTAGAAATTATTATATCAACAGAACACATTATTTCCTAA